GATTGGCGCCAGGTCGTCGCGACGCCACACTCATGCCAGAGTACACAGGGATAAAACCACCCCCTTTCGGGAGGGATTCACCCACCAAAATTAGATCGCCGGTTACGCACACGCTATTCGAGGTATTTTGTGGCTCCATATTACATGTTTTCGTGTATTACCATACATGCTATGTGCCCTCGTAACTCGGGAGATTAAACGGGCTTTGGCGTTGACGAATATCCCCCCCCCCCGTCAGCGATGAAAAAAGCTGCTCTTCATTTTCACTGTGTTATTTTCGAAATGGCATCGTGACATGATCATGTTCAGGTCATGGACACTTCACGAAATTCGCAGATGACCTGTCACAATCTGCGGAATTCCACAGGGAGAGAAAAGTTGAGAAAATTATAGATCGAAATGTTGAAAATTTTTGACTGAATTTTCTGGAAAAAGGCCTTAATTTTGATTTAAGGGGAAAAATACGGAAATTCCACAATTGACATGAATTTTTAAGTGAAAATGAAGTTTTACTGCCCAATTCCCTTTAAGTTTCAGGAACTTCCATGAAAATTCTGAGAAGTCTGGAATTTAAGGAGAGATTCCTATGAATTTTCCTGATTTTTCATGGATTTTTCCATGAAATTATGAATTTTCACTGCCCAATTCCCTTGAATTTAAGCAGAGATACCTCTGATATTTCTAATTTTTCATTAATTTTCTCGGAATAATTAATCTGAAATTTACAATTCCCACGGATTTTTCCATGAAATTACGAATTTTTAACGAGAATATTCCTTGGAATTACAGTGAACATGTTACGTGTTAGAAATTTTCAAGACCCGTACCGGAAATTTCACTGGCAAATTTTTAACACTGTACTTGACTAGTTCGGTAATTTTTCTCCAACTTTTGTCTTCCGGCAGTCCCCTCGTTGACTGGTGAAATTACTCCTGTGACATTATCATCGACAACTCCAATAAAATCACAGACACAATGTCATCTTCTCCTCGACTGGATTTAACGTTCTGATTACACATTTTCTGCAGTCACCGAGAATATTCAAATCCACTGAGAGCAGTCGTGAGAATTTGCTTACAGCTGACTTGCTGAAGTATCAGATTGAAGGGACGATGAACCAAGAAACAAGCAATACCCCGAAGAAGCTTGCCAAGCATCCGGAGTAATTCCCTGGCACCTTTCTCCTCAGTGTCAGGACCTTGTCCCCCTCCCCCCCCCCTCACCGCCATTCTTATTTTCCCATCCTCCGCAGACTATACTTTACGTCGTTCCTGTTCAACGGAAAAACGTGTACCGAACGAAAAAGATTAATGTCCCTTGAGCTGGCTGAAATGGCATCCCATCGGTTCTCTCTCCCGAGACTCCCGAGGATTGGTCGTTTAAAGCTCCAATTGACATCGAGAAAGCACTCGAGAGAGGGTTATTATGGATTGTCGTACGGTGATAACGGAATTCAATAGCTGGTTTTCAGTTTTTTGATTGAGTAGGGGATCATTGCAAACATGATGACTAGGAATTTTTAGGAATTATTTTGTTGGTGACAGCTGGAGATCATAAAGCATTTGTAAGGTTCTCAAGGGTCAAGACGTTAATGAGAAAAATCGTAACGGTCATACGAAGAATCTTAAAAATCAAAAGAGAGATGAATATATTTACCCCATCAAACAAAAATGAACTGATTTCATAACATGAAATATTTTAATAACACTGTTTTGCTTTCATTTCCATTTTTCAATGAAAGCACTTTATCAACTTCGAATTATCTCGATCATGTGTGATTCTAAGAGAAAAAGTCATAAAAAATTTTTTATCCGAAATTTAATTCTCCATAAAAATTTTTCGGAGATTTTTCTCTGAAATCACTCGCTTACGAGATAAATTCACAAGTGGTGAAAATTTTCAATAATAAATAGTAAATTATAAATAGAGTGGAATGGGTGGAAATAAAGTACATAACAGCCTCGTCCAGGAGAATTTTATCCATAAACAGAGCTTGTGCTTCCGCCCATGGCCACCACGGATTTTATCGTCAGGTTAATTTAAAAGATAAGATAGATACGCAATATCGCGTTCTCTATTCTTTTCCTTCACCTCCATCCTCGCTTGCCCCTCTTACACTGTACTTCGGATAATAACCATCCGGGGGTTGGATCGTTACACACCCCAGGCAGTCTCTAATTGAAAAAATGCCAGACGTTATATTCCTCCTGTCGGAGTTTTTTTTCCCCCGTCCAATATTTGATTCGCCTGTTTTCTACATTTTTTTTAATTGGACTATTCAACTGGTCTGTTGACGACAGCGGCTCGGAATTTTCCGGACTTGTCGCCATGCGTGAAGAGAAATGTTCAGTAAAAATTACGGAACTCACAATTCACTCACCGATTACGAAATCGACTCAGAAACTTTAAGTGACGGCAAAATGAAGTAAAATCAATATTCAATTCAGCTTCAACTGTTTCTATTCTCATTTTTTTATGAAAACACTTTATTAATTTAGAAATATCTCGATAACGCGAGAGTCTAGGAGAAAATGTGACAAAATATTTTTTATCCGAAATTAAGTTCTCTATAAAAAAGTTTTTATCACATTTTTCACTAAAATCACTCGTTTACGGGATAAACTCACAATTACCAAAAATGCAAAAATCCATTTGAGTTCAAATAAATGAAATTGATTTCTGTAAAATTTGAATATCTTCCGATTAAACGATGCAATTGCGGCAAGTCAGAATTCAAGTTAAAGCTCAAGAAAACATCCTTGAAATGGCGCCAAATTTTTAAAATTCTTCTCAGCCGATCCCGAGTTGTTCCCAAACTCCCACGCGAAATTCTGAAATTAAAGAATTGTTAATAGACTGAGGACAATACATAAACCCGCTTTATTTTCCGCAATGAAAAACTTTCAAAAGGGTCATACACCCAGAGAGTCAGAAGAGGGAGAACGAGGGTTTAGTGAAAAAGGGAAAACAGAAGAGAACAAAGAATGGGGTCGTCAAACGCGTATGACTCTTTAACTCTGTAGCAGCGTCCAGTTCTCTCCTCTGCATAGCATGTCTCCACGTTGACGTTGAAATACATGCGGTCATTATTCAAACGGCTCGACTAGTCGCCACTGGAGTCCAGCGACTCCCCATTGACCACTTCGACGCATTTATACCATTCATGAAATTCAAACAGTCTCTTGTTACTGATTTTACAGGCCATTCAATCTACCCCGGGATCCATTTGTCGGATTAAAGAACATTTCTGAATATTTTTGGTCATCAATTTTTTGCGGTTCTTTTTTATTCCACATTTTCGTGGTTTTTCTCATAACTTTTATACAGGAACAAAAAAAAATTGTTTGATTTTGTCGATTCCCTCGTGAGGTTCATAAGGGCCACATAAGGGCCAAATGTCATGGAATAAATGTATTTAATCCACGTCCTTTAATCTTTATTGATCCTTACAACACTTCCAAATCGGGAGATCACGTTTGTCATAAGGTTCATAAGCGTCAAATGAAGGTCATAAAAAAGTCATTAAGGTCAAATGAAGGTCATAAAGTCAGTCATAGCAATCGAATGAGGAACGATATTACGATCGTTGACCCTGATGACTTTTCCTCTCTCTTATAAGATTCATAAGTGTCAAACGAAGGTTATAATACAGTTATAAGGTTCGAATTCAAGTCATAAGAAAAGTCATGAAGGTCATAAGGGCGGGCAGAAGAGCCAAATGAGGGTCGATATCATGATCTTCGACTGTGATGACTTCTCCTCTCACCCTTACGACTTTTCCTTTCCCTCATAAGGTTCATAACTGTCAAATGAAGATCATAGTAAAAGTCATAAGGGTCATGACGACCTCATGCAGGTCATAAAAAAATCATGAAGATACATAAGGGTCAAATTGTGGTCATCAACGTCATAAGGTCAGTCATAAAAACAAAATAAGGGTCAAATATCAAGAGATTGACCCTTATGACCCTCATTTAGCCCTCATAACCCTCATGAACCTCACAACCCCCAGCAGCGTGACTGGTCCCTTTTCCCGCTGTCAATTTTCAACTTTTTAAGCCAGAATAATTTTCTTCATAACTTATTCCATCCAAATATTAAACAATTCTCAGACAAGTGATAGAACCAGCCGCTGCGGTCAGCCGTACACAGCAAAGGTCACTGGCCTTTCTGATTTTCCTCCACCCCCTTTCCCCCTTTCCAACTCCTCGTTTTACGTACCTTTTCAGCCCCAACGGTGTGGATAAATGGGACACGCCCATTCCGTTGAGACAAGTGGAATGTGTGTGCGGTTTATAGCTAGTACCTATCCTCCGTATTCGTGCATGTATTTCCCGACGTGTATTCGACAATGTATTAGTTGCACATTTATACTGTACATGGGAATAAAAGGACTCGGGGTTCGCTGTTTCGGTGGGATGGATTTTTCTTGGGGGGAGGGGGTGGGGGGTCTCAACAAATACGTTGGAGGAAAACAAAGGGACTGGAATAACTGTGCTTTTTATGCATTTTTTAGGCAATTCCGGGCTGCGAAGCTTTCCCACGTACTTCGGGTTTTCAATTTTTATTTTTTTTTCGTATTGATTGTAGAGGAAGTTTCGGTGGGAATGACCTAGATAGGGAGGCAATGGTTTTCCTAGTCATAAAGGGCAGAAATACATGTTGGATATTTTTTGGGGGTTACCAGGGTCATATGCACTCGGAGATATAACGGATTTTAATTAATTGAAATCCTTTATTTCGAATTCTTCGATTTGTTTCGGTAATTTTCTCGATAGAAATTCATGAATTAATTATTCATGTATTTTTAATCAATTCTCTGAACAATTGTTCCGTTTCTAATTAATGGAATCTTTATTTGGATCGACAAAACATTTATTCATTAAATAAATTATTTTATCAAATTTTATTATTCAGAGTTTTTTCATTATTTTGATGAATTCAACTTTAATTTCCTTCCGCTGGACCAAAAAGTAATAGATCGTAATATTTTCTTTCAGTATCTACACAGAATATCTCAAGTACTGGAGCCACTGCAGCCAAACTCCCGAGACAGGCCTGTCAACAATCCGAATGCCTTCGAGTTTCTAAACCAGAGTGAAAATCTTCAGCTCGGAAAATTCAGACTTCGGTGAGCATTATTTTTTCCCTTCCCCCCTCCCCCAAACCAATAAATCGTCCAGGGAGACACTGGCAAAGAAGTTTTTACAAAACGTGACACAGAGAGAATAAAAAATAAAACTTAGAGGAAAAAAGGGGTAAGAACAGCGGAGAGAAACTGGAGGTAAACGATCCAGGCTGCTCCTCCTCCATAAATACACTAAAGTAGAGCCCGCAGAGTTTGGAGAAAATTACGAAAAGCTCTCGCGCCACTAGATGTCTATGCAAAGGCAATTTTCCGCCTCGAGAAAAATACGTATTCCACCTGGTTCACTTCATACTCCATACCGAAGTTGGAATACCATTCGGGAACAAAGGAAAATAAAAGGGACATTTAAATGTCCATTATTTGATAATTTTTCTGAATGATGCACCAGAAATGGGGCAGTCCATTCCACGCAGTTTTAGACATGCACTTGACAAGGACAATGACACCATTAAATTGTATTTTTTTTGCAGAACATTCCGCGAGAGAGTTATTTACGAGGGAAAGCATCAGGTTTTCAATGCTGATGGACGATACACTTTCTTCGTTCCTGATGAGGAGGGATTCAAGGTGAATATGAATTCGATGATAGTTGTTTAGACGTTAGATTAATGATTTTGAAGTAATGAAGATGGTAATGGAAGGCGTAAAGTCATGACCAAATTTGAGACATTTTTTCCGCCTCAGTTCAAGACACATGAGGACTATTCAATAATCATTAACCTCACTAATATACTGAGGGTGGCCCACAAGGAGATGAATATATGCATTAAATATATTTATAAATTTAAAAAAAATGCCACGTATATTTGACTTATACGAGCATATATGCCACATCCTTTGCACATATATTTCGAATACTACATTTTTTGCCGCTTTTACATATGTGGACGTCCGCATGAAAAAGGGTCACTTTGTCAATATGGTGGTATGTATACTCTGATAATATGGGTAACATTCCGCACATTTTGAGTTCAAAATGGTCTTCATGGGGTGAAAAATGACGTCGTTGGAGAAGATGGAAAAAACAATTTAACATTGGTGCAAATGGGAGTTTCTGACACAAAACCGTGAATATCTCGGAAACTAGAAATCGACAAAGTGGTCCCTTTTCATGTGGACGTCCACATATGCTGAAGTATACGTATGGTATGTTTGAAATATGCGACTATATACTTTAAATGTACATAATATATATACGACATCCGGAAGCGTGATGAGGGAGAGAGATGTTGAATGAATTAAACCACATCCCTCACATATAAGTCACAAATAAGACATCTTAAGTTTGAATTAGAAAATCCACGACTAAGACACCTAGAGCGCACGTCTCAGTGTCTTAATTTCGGACATTTTTGTCTACTGTCGTAAAGAATGTAGTCATGATACTGTTGAACATCACCTTTTAAACTTCCATCGCATCGACACGGTCCCGAAAATTCATGGCGTCCCCCAATATGCGGTGGGGATCACAGGAAGTTGCATCGATGAAGGCACCTCACTCCCGTGAATTCACCTTGACGCGTAAAACGTGACGTGAAATATTGAACGATGTATAGAACCATCAAAGTCACTCGGCTTGACGTTTCAGAGCGCGATCGAGCCGCCTCTACAGCAACTCGCTTTCCTGCCTCCTGGCGCTCGTTTCCGCGCCCAGCAAACGTGAAAAATTTCCATACCTCCACCCCCTCGACTCCAGTGCAATCCTTTTATACGTGCATTTTGCAGTACTTATGTGGAATGTTGCATACCAAAGAGCCGCTGGGGGCTGGGGGGCAAGTCGGGTCGGTGGTTTAGAGATCGATTGAAATTCAACTGCCGGTGGAGGAATTTACGGGGAGATAAGAGAAGAGAAAAAGAAAAAATTATTGGTTGTAAAAAATCTCGTCGCGTTAGTACTGAAATCATGGCGCCTACGATTTAGCCCAAATTTATTTTCAACTCATGGAGTTGCTCTTCGATGAAATCATTGAGTTGTGAGTTCGTTTTGGTAATGAGATCATTCAAATCGCGTGTGAAATTGGTATCTCCAGCCCTTTATCCATCAATTAAAAAATCGTGATTGATTCGCTCAACGTCTTCAACCGACAAAAGAATGGACTCGATCTAATTTTCCATACGTTCCCCGTGAGCATCCGTCCGTCTGTCAATTTGCCAGATATTTTCCACATCGAGCTGCCTCCACTCGCGTTCCACCAGAAGGGTTGGAATACACAAGTGAACTGGCAAATGAGCCTTCAATGCTCCAGTCTATAAAAACATCTGAAGGATGAAAAAAGAATCGCCTCCGTCTTCATCGGCTCTCCAATGAACCGCTCATTAACCAACCGTGAAGTTATTTATTTTCCCGGGTTTTAAATACTCGAAGGGGTTTTTTGAATATCGCAGGAGGGTGGAGACGCTATGCGTGGAGGGTATATATTATAATTACCGTAATTTCACTCCTCGGTGTAGCGAAGTTTTAGACAGATGTGGAAAACCACCTTGGATGGATATTACGGAAAAGGAAATGTTATGGGAGCGTAATTAATGCGCCTTAGCTAATTAAATATTTGCCCATTTGTTAACCGCAGCTCTGCCTCGGAGGATTATGGGGACAGGGTGGTTCACCGCAAATCGACTCACCACTTTTTCCACTAATGAATGGAAAGTGAAAAAGATGACAGAAAATTAACAAAAAATTGTTATCATTTCTGGGTGAAAAATTTCAGTTTAAAGGATGCTTTACAGTGAGAGAAAAATCTGAAGTTCGATTTACAATAAGAAAATAGTTGAGGCATTTTGGTGAACGATACGATTTTTTTTGTATGCGGCACATAACATTATAGTAACTTCACAAGCGTATTTTTTGCAAATCAAAATGCAGTTAAACTAACCAAAGTTCAAAAGTAATCACGACAAATCTATTGTGAATAGAACTATAAAATAGTTGCAATGACTACATTCTATTGTAGTAATTACTTCTCCGGCCATAGTTACCGTAACCCATGAAAAATTGTTGAGGACTTTTTGACTATAATTCGATGGTGATGGAATATAGTCAGAAGAATTATATTTTTCTCTCAGTGTAGTCATAATTAACCCCTGTCTCGTCAAATATTACATCCCTGAAATAAAATGAATAATTCTCTCCTCGATACAAGTTTCCACCAAAATGTACTCTTCTCGTGGCCCAACCCGACCGCTGAATTGAAAATTCATAGAAAATAGAATTGATCTCCCCGAGTTTGAGAACGAATATGAGATTGAGATAACGCAGAGAGAAAAGATTTGCATAAGCCATCGGGGGATGAGTGGTGAAAACCGATAAGACTTGGAACATTGTATAACTGTAAACATTCAGAATTTGGATCGATACCCATGAAACCCTCACCCCACGTGATCCAATTTCTATTGATACAGTTCCAACGAAGGGAAGCCAAAGTCTAACTAAACCAATTCTCTATTTCAGCCGTCAATGCGACCAGGCAAAATAGATAAGCAGGTGATTGATGGTCACGTAATTCCGAATCACGTTCTATTCACCGACCCAACGCCCGATGGCAAGGCCTACGAGACACTCGCCAATACTGATAACTTCAGGGTTCAGCTGAGTTTCGTGAAGGATAACCGGGGAAAGGGTAAGTTCTCAAGAGGTTTTCCACAAGAAAGCGTCATCTACTTTGACGAAGTCGTCACTTTATAAATCCCTCCATCTAAATCTCTCTCAATCCAATAAAGGTAACGACCTTCAGAATGTCTCGTCTATGATAAATATGACCATAATAATTATCTATTAAACTCCACCATCGACTCCAACGTTTTTTCTGTAAAAGATTTCCAACAGTAAGCCATACCCTTCAACACGATTGACTCACCATCAAGTATTCTATTTACTCTTGCAGTTTACGTCAAGTCCAACACAATAATCGGTGACTCTAACCACCCGACAGGAGTCGTCCTCGCTGAGATCGTCAAAGCGAATATAGCTGTGAAGAATGGAGTTGTCCATTTGATCCAACGACCCCTCATGGTGGTGGACGCCACAGTGCAGCAATTCCTCGAGGTCAGTTCTCATCTTCCCTTTTAGTTTCCACATCAAAGCTAGCAAAAACAACTGCAAGAACAAATACTTATGACTTACTCCTCTCGAGGGAGTTGTCAACTGATAAACCTGACGCTCTTCGATTGTTAAATGTACTTTTTCATGAAAATATTAATGAGATATTGCTTGAAGAAATTGAACTAGCACAAATCAGCACTTTGATTAACAGAGACACTTGGCCACAGTTCGGGATATACTGTATGCACAGTGGGCTCTTTGACGATGGTAGCTCTCGTGCAGCCACTGTACGTCAGACCAAGGACCGAATACCCGACTAATGGAATAGTCCACTAATTATCAAGCTCAATAGTTCGATTGGCTTTCACCACAATTGAGGGCCTTTCAATTAAAATTAACCTATCATGAGGTCCAGGAATGCTCAAATTTCTTTGTGAGAAAGTTCTGTATGACTTTTTAGATGAAATACATCATCTTTCTAAGACGTACTACTTCATGCTGTTTCCTCAGCTCTTTATTGAGCATTTCTTCTCAATTATCTCTCTTCATAGCAAAGGTATGATGTCCCTTCCACCCGACTGCAATCTCCATTTCCATTTTTCGGATGCTAGTGGTCTCAATTGATAAATCAGAATTCAATACCATCAATTGGAAATTCCCCAGCATTAGTATTCACAAACGTCCGTTTTGGGTATGGCTCGGGAATGGGATCAGAAAGGGATGCTGGAACGTGTTATCCGGTTGGGGTTTACGTGACGTACGTAATTGAGCATGAGGCTATCAAAGGGCGAGGGGGGGGGAGGTATGAAGTTGTTTTGACGTGACTGTAGAGACGTTATTGCAATTCGGCCCTTGTCCTGTATAATATCCGTCCATCATTGTTTGACTGATGCCGGGTTAACCGGAACGTCAGGTGAGCCATCAGATTCATAGGCTTTGAAGGGGGAATGACGTGTGTTTTGATGTAACCATGGACCGTCACGAGAATTAAACAAAGAGAAAGCTTTTTGATACTCGAAAAAGGTTTAATTTATAATAGTTGTAAACATTCAAGCCCCAGACATTCAAGCCCCAGTGGATGCTCCGGCAAAATGGGAGTTTCCCATGGAGTTTGATCTTTGCGAACCTTTTGAACATCATAAAAAGTTCCAGGAAAGGTCCAGCCATGGAGTTCTCCTTTATATTTGGTGGTTTATTACATAAAACTCTCATGGCATATCGGTCATCGCAGTAGTTAATGCCGAAAGATTTTTCGTTTTATCTGCTCTCTCCGCTGTATCTTCTCTCATGTGCCGCACGGAAAGATTAAAGTATTAGTCTGCGAGTTGCGCAAACCTATCGTAAATTCCATGAATACAGAATTTTTTTCCAACATCCAAATCATTAATTCTTGATAGTTAATGAATAAAGCTGGCTCTCAGTGTTTCTGCCGTTTCATTTTATCCCGTTCCGGGGGAATGAGAGGCTCGCGAATGTCTCATTATGAGTCAATAACTGGTATAATGGAGGCGCATTATTCATGCCGTTACACGGGATTTACCGGGGCTTCAAAAGAGGTTTATTTTGAAATCTCCGACTGAGTAATAGCTGATGGACGTGAAAGCCTTCAGCTTTATCTCGAGTTTGATGCGTAGCTCGCGTTGTATTTTACACAGGTGTAAACCTAGCCTTGGGATTTCACTCGAGGCACGACAGTTAATGCATCAGGGCCGGAAATTTTCCAGCCTCTAGTCCCAACATCAAATCCTATTTTTCTCTATTAAAGTGGAAATCCAATTCGTGGACGGAAGGGGGGAGAAACATGTCTTGGCTCTCCAAGTCGCTGTATTGACCCGTAAATACCAACTATTGAACCATTACTTCCAGCCCTTTTCACGGTCTACCTCGACATACGGTGATGAACAAAATCACAATGTACGGCAGATTGTTTTCTATTTTTTTTTATTATTTTTGCTTCTTCAAGCCCACAATTGGGGTTGTTACTTGAGGACACCCGAATGAGATAAAATGCAATACTGATATAATTTTCATATTACAGGCAATGATTTGCTTCAGTGAATAAGATTTTAATCATAATTACAATTCAATTCCTTCTAGAACTTACTTAAGAGTGTGGAATTTCTGGAATTGAATGTTTCAATTCGTGCCCACACTGTTATCAACTTCTAGTTAGTTGACACGGTAATTCAATTAATTTGTTGTTCATCTCGTCAATATAATTCCTTGTTAGGAATATTGTCATCTCGTGTGTTCAGCACCGAATCAAAAATTGAAACTTCATTTGGAATATTCAGTCACAGCTTCTTTTCATTCATATCAGGAATTTTGTATGAAAAATCGATCATCATTTTCACTGTATCGCATTCAGATTCTCCTATCCTTAACGTCAAAACTGTGAGATAATCTCATAATTCTATCTATTAATTCTAATCAACTTTGTTCGAAGAAAACCTCTAGTAAACGCAATACTAAGAAAGTCGAATTATGATTCGTTTATTCACGTTTCATAGAATGGTATTCAATTCTCTTTTGCTTGTTAGGCGGGCTTCATGACAATTCGACGCAAGACGATTGTAAGGTACATTTAATTCAATTCAAATGAACAAATAATATCCCCAATTGGCAATTGATGTTGATTCAAACCCCCCCTGTCTTCCGAAATCCTCATTTATTCGACTTACTCTGTCATGAAAAGTGATTTAATAATTGAGGGCAAACCTCAGGTTTAACTTTTACAACATCCACAGGACATTAAGCACCCCAAACATGTTGAATTTAACATCATTACTCTCAACAGAGCACCAGAACAAATACTACAATTACAGAGGACAAAACATTGAACGAGTCTGTAGCATGTACTGCCTATTGTCAGCACCCGCACTGTACCACAAGCCGGATCAAAGAAAAATCCTTCACAACGGTGTAGAGCACACGTAGACAAGCAATCTTCATATTTCATCCGCAATCTCGGCATGAAAAATTCATAATTGCATGGGATATGTTGAAGCTCCATCGAATGTTCTTTGATCCGACGCAAATGTGGACAATGTTGTGTCAGCTCGAGATGTATCGCGTAAATGTTGAACTAGTCATGTGATCTCCACTAGGTTTTCTCGACGTACTCCATTCAATTCCATTTGACGGAAAAAAATCACGTAATTTTAAATTTCAGTGATTATATCCAAGAATGCAGAATTTGACGTTTTGAGGTGGAGTGGGGGTATAATTATTTCGATAGTTCTTAGATAATTCACGATTAGTCGCATGGCGATTCGATGTATTTATAATAATTCTAATTTACTCATTCCTAATTTTCTTCTGCAATGAAAAGATAAAATCGTGTTCTGAGGGTCTGATGAGGATCTAAGGTTGATATAAGGGTCTTATGAGGGCCTTTTGAAAATCGGAAGGTCATATCGGGTTCATCTAGGGGTCTTACGGGGTTCATGAGGGTCTAGGGTTCATATAGGGGTCTTCTAGGGTCTTACGAAGGTCTTATGAGGGTTTAGAATTCATATTGAACTATTATAGGGGTCGTTTGAAGGTTTAGGGTTCATATAAGGGTCTCATAGGGGTCTTTCGAGCATCAAGGGTTTCTAAGCGGGCTTTTGAGACCCTTTCGAAGGTCTGGAGGTCATATAGGGGTCATATGAAAGCTATATGAGGCCTCATAACATATAGGGTTCACACAGGGGTTCATGAGGGTTTAGGGTTTATATAGGGCCTTACGAGGGTTTTATGAGGGTCTAGAATTCATATAGGAGTATTATAAAGGTCGTTTGAGGTTTCAGGGTTCATATAAGGGTCTCATAGGGGTCTTTTGAGCCTCTAGGGTTTATATAGGAGTCTTTGAACCGTCTAGGATTCATATGAGGGCCTTTCGAAGGTTTGGAGGCCATATAGGGGTCTCAAGGACCCAAATGAAACCTCATATAAGACATATAGGGTTCATCTAGCCTAATCTCCTCATTCCTAATTTTCTTCTGCAATGAAACCTTAAATTTTTTTATAATAATTTCCCCAAAAACGTCAAATACTGCATCCCGATTGCTTGAAATTTTAATGGAGACAATAATCCACCCGCTCGCTTCCTTGAATTAATAAATAAAAATCCCGCTGGTGATCACATGAGACTAACCGCTTACTTCCAGGTGTACGCACTGATCTAAAGTAGAACGTGCTAACTCGTACTCCTGTCAATCTGCAACAATGCTCTCTGGAAACCTAACGCAATAACCTGGGGAACGAAAGAATAATAATTACAGGGGTAAAATTAGGCGTCAAGACCGAGGGCAAAAAATCAGGAATAATTTCCGCCGTTGCACCGCACTATTTACTGTTTCTTTGTACACAGGATATATGCGTCTGCCTGATGTTCGCAAAAATATTTCACCACATTTCTCCACCTTCTTTCATCCTCCCGATCGTACGAATTTTTCCCGGTCCGGAGAGAGGGAGTTTATCACTCAATTTCCGGTGAAAATAATTTTCATCGGAGAATAGCTAACGCGCGAGGAGAAACTAATTGGCAATTTTTTCATTGTATTTAATCGAATTCTCCCAATCGTTGTTTGAGTTTATTTTTCATAATGATGATACTCTTCACGGAATAGTAACACGGAATTTCAGGGTATTGAGTGTATCACAATGTGGAGAATAATTAGTCAAGAATTGGGTGAATATTGAGGGCTGGAGCTAGTTTCGTCCCTGAAAAATTGGAAACAATGCGGGCTAATTATTGGATTACGGAACAATGAAGGAATTAATCTACACTGATAGAATGATTCATTTATTCCAAACGAGATTCGTTAACTATTAACGAATGGTAAAGTTGAATATGACCAAATGAATATTCGTTAATAGTTAACGAATGGTTCACTTGAATGGCGAAAGTCAAGTCAAACAAGGCTCCTCAAATGTACATTCGTTAACTATTAACGAATGAACATTTGGTGGGACCGAAGAGACCCTAACCTCCAACCAAAATCCATTCGTTAACAATAACTAATCCGTTCTATCAGTGTACACATGAGTTGATTTCGCTTTGTGAAAAGTGCATTTTTGGGTACAATTTTTTGTTAAAAAAAAATATTTTAAATAATCGACTCAAATCAACTCAAAAATCCACGATCTCCCGACAAAATTCTCCAAAATGCAAGTTTTCCCTCAAACCCCTCACACTAATCAACCAGAAACGAGAATAAAATACTGTTCATACAAGAAATTGTTCCTGCCGGGGGGCAATCGACTGTTCGTTTGAGAGCCTGCATATGAAGACAGGAAAAAAATGAAGTAAAAAAAACGAGAAGACGAGGATAAAGCACCTGGGGGCTCATTCAGATACGACAGGAGAGAGAGCCCCCATGCTCTCGCTATTCTCGCAGAGTCTCGCACACTCGCTGACGCTCCGGCAAAAGTTTAAACGTCTTTAACGATTCCCGCGTGAGAGACCCTGCGGGCCCACACTAGCTGGCCGTTTCTACCATCTTTTTCACTCCGTCTCTATTGGGAATAAAGAACACCCCGTGTCACGAAGAAATTTTCAGTCTCTTTATCACCATTATGTGCACTGAATATCATTCATTTCACTTTTATTCTTCCAATAAACTCTAGAATTTTATATTCGGGTCCAGTAGTAATTTATACTCTGTTATTTTATTTTTTTTTTCCCATTTTCGTCTTCACAATTAGATTAATTTAATTTTATTCATTGTTATTGTTATTTATATATTTTTATTCCTTAATTGACAAGTTACAACATTGAATGAAGAGGAATTCCCCATAAATCACGTGAGAATACAGATCGATACACCATTTTCGATAATTATACTTAAAATTTTTCATTTCTTTCTTTTTCTTTAAATTAATTAGTACCAATGATCTGAAAATGTGAACGAACATGAACATTTTACATCCCTTTGATCTCATTCCAATGGATCCGAAGAAGGAAATCGCAAAGAGAGACCGATCATCAGCAATTAGTATCAATAAAATGAACAAATTTGTTTTTCTATGTCTTTTCGAAATTTTTCAAATTGTTTTTTTCTTAAAAAATGAAGGGAGATTAACATTTTTAATTCCTGTGATTGTATTCCGTTCACAGAAACAGGAAATACCGAAAATGTAGGGAAGGAAAATCAGAAATAAATTTTAAAAACAGATTTTTCAATCTTGAAAATTTCAAAACGTTTTTTTTTTATAATGAAGGAAAACCAATATATTTTCTTTCTATTATTTAATACTAATGAAAGAAAGTGAAAAGAGGAAGAGAAACAAGATCAACACGAAAACAGATTTTTTAATTTTTCAATGTCTAGAGAAAATTTAAAAATTGATATATTTTTTCGAATAATGAGCCAGTAATAACCCATAAATTCAATTCCCATCCTCACATTTTCATAGAATACATTAAAAACATGGCAACGAATTCAAATCGGTGATGAAAATTTTTATCGGATTATTATTAGGTATTAATAGTAATAATGATGATGATACAAAATGCGAACGAGTTTATTCAAACTATAAAAAAAAACATCGACAAATTTTAACTGAAAATGTTTGTGATTGTGAAGCAAACGATTCTAATAAACAATCAACATTCACAACAAAATATTGAAAATTCATCACCACGCTGGTCTGCAGATTGCAAAATTGTAAATATTAATACCTAATTATGGAAAGCCGTAATGAATTCACGAACAATTAGTCGTTCACTAATTCGCCCAATCAACTATCCGATTAATCGCCTGCATTTGAAAATTCACCCGTTGGAATTTTCGTGATGCACAGGGATTTTATGCAGTCATTTATATCATTCGGTATATGTGAGGCATGTCGGCATGAGCTTCATAAATATTCAACAGGAGAAAGAGCCGATTATCGATGGATGCCGAACAATAATAGCATAAATGATGATGATGATAAATCCGCAGATAAATTTGTGTAATTGTTTGGATCATTCAGTCCTGTGAAAAGACTGGGTGCCATAACGATTTTTACCTGTCATTGATAAAATGAAGCTCGCATTTTTTTTTACCATTTTTTATATTCATTGCAAGTTGAATTAATCTGCTAATTGACCGAGAGGGGTCGACTGCTGCTGTGTTTTATTTTCCATTTGAAAATGAAAAAAAAAATTTATTGTGTTGAATCGTGGTAAGGGGCGGAATTTTGAGGGCCTGGGATTCATATCAGGGTCTCACGGGGTTTTTAGAAGGTTTAGGCTCTATATGAGCGTATTATAGGGGTCTTATGAGGGTCTAGGATTCATATAAGCGCCTTATAGGGGTTTTATGAGGGTCTAGGGTTCATGAGAGGATCTTATAGGGCTTTCACGAGGGTCTGATGAGGGTCTAGGCTTCAAATAGGGGTTTTACGGGGGTCCTATGAGGGTCTAGAGTTTATATAAGGGACTTATAGGGGCTTTATGAGGGTCTGATAAGGATCTAGGGTTCAAGTTGGGGTCTTATAGGGTCCTACGAGGGTCTAGAGTTCCTATGAGGGCCTTACGGGAGTTCTATGAGGGCCCATGGTCCGTAAGAGGGTCTTATAGAGGTCTTGCGAGGGTGATAAGGGTCTAGGGTTCAAATAGGGGTCTTATGGGGTCTGATGAGGTTCCATGGTTCATGTAAGGGCCTTAGGGGCCATGGTTCATGTAAGGTCTAGAGTTCATGTAGGGGTCTTATAGGGTTTTATGAGTTTCTTATAGAGTCTTACGAGGATCTAGAGTTTTTATGACCGTCTCATAGGGGTCTTTTAAGGGTCTAAGATTTATATAGGGGTCTTATGAAGCCCCTTCAAAAATCTGGGGTTCATATAGGGGTCTTACGGAGTCCATATACGTTAAATGAGTCGAAAAACAGCAATTGCTGGAAGTTGGCGAGTGGAGCGAGCAGAAAGCGAACCCCCCGGTAAGAAAATAACCTGAAATTGGAGACGAGAAAAATAATTGTATCATGCAATTCCCGGTTTTGATGAAAAATTCTTTCTGCATTTGACTACAGAACAGAACACAAAAGAACACGTGAGAAGTATACACCTTGAATACAGAAAGAAGTGAAATGAGATGACGGCAAAAGAGCAATAAAACGAATGTACGAATAAAATAAAAAAGGGAGGAAAATCTAGAATGAACTGAAAGCAAAGAAAGTAGGGAAAAAAACTTGAATCTACTGAGAATCGCTCTGTAGCTACTTTCATGAATTTATATTAGTACCATGCGTCACAGGGGCCACGGCGCTGGGGTATACCGTCCGTTTGTTTCATGTAAAGAATTGCTGAAATGTGGAAAAAAGTGGAGACCTAACTTAATTCCGAATGCATAATTCCGAATGGATGTTCCTCTCTGGCAACGGAATCATGACGATAAATTTATCAAATGGGGGGTTGTTTATTCCTCTTGACGGTGCCTCATCTGCATTTTCCGAGTGACCTGGAATTGTATGATCATTATCGGGGAATTAATTAATATTTCGAGTTGTGGAAAGTGGGCTTCTACTTTGTAGTGGAGTGATGAAATAATGGAAACGTCTTTATCGTTTCCGATTTATCTCGGGAATGAGTGGTTTTAGAAGAAAATGTGAAAAAGAATTTGTTGTAGAGAATTGAATTTCCTGCAAAAAAAATTCAATGACATTTTTTTGTAAAATCATTCGTTACTGAGATGTTTATCTTAAAAAAATATGATGTCCGAAAAAATTGTGTGAAAACCAGAATTTATCGTTCCAGTTAATTTTATCGTTATCTCAGTACTGAGTAGGTCTAGAAAAAAATGTCCAGGGAACTTTTTGTAGGGGATTGAATTTCCTACGAAGAATGTTTATTGATATTTTTCTCTAAAACCACTCGTAACCGTGATAGTTGCGGTTGAAGTGGAGCAAAAAAAAATTAAGTCGTGTTTTATCACCTGACACATGTGGAATAATAATAAAATTATCTCACATCATGCGAATTACGGAAATCACACCCGCTTGAGAGGAAACCAGTGCAGGGGACGAAAAAATTAACGAAATATACGAGAAAAAGTAACCAAATACCGGTATCACAGTGAACAACCTAATACAACGCACATTTTTTCTGTTTTCTGTTCGCTTCTTATGTTACGGAACAACTCCCTGGTTTCTGGTTTCTCTATGCAGTCCTTCAAGGTAATTCATCATGCCTACATACTTCTTTTTCATAATTTTTCTTTCTCTCCTTTTTATTCTCACATCATATCTGGGTGATACCAGAGAAAACAAAAGGTTAATTATTTTCATTTTGTCATGGCTAATGAACAAGTTATCATTCAATATGAGTTCTGGGTTTTGTGATGGTAATCTGATGTCCGTTTGTATTACAATTTTTACATTTATTTGACATAAACATATTAACAAACTCTTGTATGTCCCATTCAGCCCGAATTTTTCGATTTCACTCTTGAAATTGTGCTCCCCGGTACTTTTCATCGTTCATTTCGTGCTCATGACGCTGATTGGTCATCGTTCATTGTGTGCATGGCGCTTTGATAGAGCTCTTTGGATGTCTGCATGCTTTTCGTTGATTTTTGTATTTAAAAATTATATAATAAAAGGAGAGGTTTGTATGTCGGAATTACTGACTTATTACTGACTTTACTACTTTATTACGGTGCACTGTTAGAAATTTTTTTAATTTCATTGGAAAATATAATGGTAATTCTTATGAGAGTAATATTGGCTCAGATTTAAGGGAAAAATGGTTATGAAATTTCAAGTTTTAGGTAGAATTCAAGGAAATTCATGAGCTTTTCGTGGGAGTGAGATGGAAATTTCACAACTTGATTGTATTTTCAATGGAACATGAATATTCAGAAACAAAATTACATCTATTTTTTATTTTTTTCCTGAATTTTCCTGACTTTTTGAATTTTCACGGAATAATTTAATTGAAAATTCAAGCATTTTATTGATTTTCAGATCATTTCAACCGAAAATTAATGGAATGTTAGATTTTTCAATGTCAATATTTCCTAAAAATTCATTGGAAATTAAACACAATAAAAATTTCCAGGATTTGGTACAGAAAATTCAGACGAAAATTTTTAACAATGTGATTGAGAATTTTTCCGATTCAATCCGTGAACACGAAAATTTTCCATTTCCGAGTGACTATTTCAGTACTCATTTGAACATTTCTTGAAGATAAATTTTTTTCTCAGATTGATTAATTTTTTCCCATCACTTACGAGTGTCAAATTATTGAATGTTTTTCTAATTATTGAAACAATATTAATACGCGTCAAACATGGCATCTCCCGGGCTAAAAACCCATAATAACTTCCACGCTCGGCATTCACCCCCGAAAAATCCCAATTCATCACCGGTAATTGAGCAATTAAAAGCGGAATAGAACTACGAACGCCGCAAGACTGAAGTTTCAATAAAAAAAACAGTGGTCCAGAACAATGCGTTTGACGCTCGCTCTACTCTTGTTTACGTTCCTGCGGCGTATTTTTTATCTTCCGTAAAAATGTTGAGCTTTCCGCAACAATTTCAGCCACACACTTTTTCTCTCTCCTCCGCCATTTCGAAAACAGTATTTTTTACGTGATATTTCAGGGTAGTTTTACGCCTCTACGCCTCTCGTGGTTTTTCCCCATTCAGTTTATTCTCTTTTTTTTTGTAGCACACTGTTTACCCTCTCTTGTCATGGAAACGTACACGGGAAATTATCATTGCGCACGCGCGAATGATAGCGCACGTCCTTTTTTTTATCTACCGCGTGGAGATAACTTTTCCCTTTCCTCCTCACACGGCTGGATAATAGAAAAAACTGAAAGTTTACATGGCAATGGATGTGTACAACGTAGGCGGAGGTATAACTTTAGACGAGATCGCGAATTATTGCGAAGAAAAAAGAAAGGATGAGTTGAAGGAAACAATTTTTTTTCTGAGAAGTGGATTGAATTTTATTTCTCTGGGAACTAGTTTTTTTGAGGAAAAAAAATGACGAGCGTTTTTCGAAATGTAAGGGAGATTAATCAATTAAAATAATTTCTATAATCTATCGAAATGTTAAGGGAGATTAATTAATCTCCCTTAACATTTCGATAAATTATTTAATGTTATTGGGTGTAGAAATTTTTTTCATGGTTTTTATTCATTCGATTCGTCGGTGTATGGGAAAACATCATGAAATTTAGGATTTCGCTGACAATTCAACGGAATTACGATTTTTTGAGATGTTGGAAGAATTCTCCAATTTACTTGAATTTTCAATAGAAATATGAATAATCAGTCTCAAATTACAAGGGATTTTCAATTAATTTAAAAATTGAAAATCTATTCACCAGAGTTTTCCTTATTTTTATCAATTTTCTTGAAAAAATTGAACTGACATTTACAGTTTTGTCAATCAAAATGTGAATTTTATGTGACACAATTCCTTAAAATTGCAGTGAAATTGTCACGTAATGAAAATTTCCAAAAAACCATCCGGAATTTTATGCGAAAAACATCCTGAAATTTACAATTTCACTGAAAATCTAGTGGAATTCCATTTTTTTAAATAGTTGGAAGACAAAGATTCCCTAATTTATTTGAATTTTCATTAAAAACATGAATTACTTTCAAATTTAAGAATATACTCACCAGAATTTTCATTATTTTTTCCATTTTCCTGGAATAATTGAACTAAAATTTACAGTTCTCATTGATTTTTCAATCAAAACGTGAATTTTAAATGCTAAAATCCCTTAAACTTTCAGTGGAATTGTCACATGATCACCAAATTACCCATAATTTTCCACTACTTAAAAATAAAAAAAAATATTTACCTCAACTTCTCCTGACTTCTATTAATTTTCATCAAATAATTGAACTAAAATTTCCGGTTCTCATTGATTATTTAACCAAAATGTGAATTTCAAATGAAAAAATTCCTTGAAATATCATCCAAAAATGATTAATTCTACTTCCCGCCTCAAAAATGTACCTCAGTTCACTTCCCCTAAAAAACTGTTCAATTAAATTCGTCCCGAATGTACCTCCCACCGCCAAAACTTCAGAGATAACCCGAATGAAGACAAAACTCCCATGTTTTCCCGGAGCCATGAAAAATCGTTGAATGTTAAAAAGTTGAAATCCTTTCGAAACGCATTCCCCTTTGCTCACGAAATGAAAAAGAACGCATCCCCCGACGCGAACAAGGTGAAACGAGAATAAAAAATCGGGGTAAAAAGCCAACGGGGCTCGAGTGAAAAATCTTCTTGTCACCATTGAAAAAACGAGTGTTGTCCCGAAGAAGAAAACGCTCGCGAGGTTCTCGCGATGTCTGGCTCGAAACAAGCCTCATAAATTCCCCCATGTACCCCACATTGGCCGCATGCGTGCACATTCCTACCTCTCAGTCGTTCGTATGGGTTTACAAAGAGGCGTACTATTTCACTAGGTGAGAATACGACATTATTTTTATCCTCTCGGGTTGTCTTCATGGGTGTAGACTCTTTTTATAGGGGGGAAAAAGGAGTACTCGACTTTGATAGAATATTCACGCGGGTGAGGGATGAATGGATGATATTTTTATTTAATACGGATTTTTTGTCAAGTTTTGAACTTTTTTATTTCAAATGCGAATGCATTTCTGCCTCGAATCTCGTCGGATTAATACTTTTATTTTACAGTTAAGGGATATTGCTGTTGTGCATGTGGGGGGCATGCTCCGGAGATGCATGGAATAGTGCCAATTCACTCGCTTCATTTGTTTTTAAACATTTAAATTTAGGTGAAGTTAAAAATTTTTTTTTACGTTTTTTTAAGTATGGAATTGTCGCGAAAACTAATGGTTTTAGAGGAAAATGTCATAATACATTTTTCATCGGAAATTTAATTCTCTACTAAAATGGTTTAGTGATTTTTTTCGCTAAAATCACTCGTTTACGAGATAAACACGGAACTCTGAGAGATGAAAACTTCAAATTCGCAGATTTCCATTTTTCCCTTTACATATCAATTTCATAATCAATCTTCAAATAATGATGAATATCATATAATTCACATTCAATCTTCAATTTCAAAATTAAAAACTTCTGAATTTACTTTTCATTTCCAGAAATAAATTTCATAAAATTATTTCAGGGCACAAATTCAAACAAATAGACCACTTTCCAATAAAAAATCCTAATTACCCATTCAGAACTCTCAATATCCCTGAAATACCCCGAGATCCAATCTTGTACTGATTAAAATCAACAATTCCGTAATTAATCGAAAAAGCGGTTAAGGAATGAAGACGTAAAAGTAATCAGGCCGTTTTTTCCACAAGAGGAGTTTCGTTATTGCAGAGCGACCCAGTCTGGGGGCAACTGCGAGCCCGCGGTATGAGATTCGATTAAAATTTCAATTATCCAAAATTACTGCTTGTGTAATTCAACACCCAGATGATATCTTTTTTTTCTCCATAAATTTTTACTTCACTCTCGCTATCCGAATTCGATAATGCTTATTCCTCATACATTTCCGCGTTTAATCCATTAATGAGTGGATGGCAATTAGATAGAAATATACGGAATATTGAATTAATGGGTGTATCCCTGCACCTGACTCTGTTCGGTTTTTTGATTCATTAATTTTGTTATTTTTATTTCAGCAAAATTGAAAATGGGAATAAAATATTATGAACGAAGAGTACAATGAATAGCATCAAGCACACTGAGAGCAAATTAATATTTGGTAGAATGAAACAGATTTACTTGAGGGAAATTAACCAACTTGATAGAAATTTAATCTTTCACAAAAATTGAATTTTTGTCGTGATCATCAGAAATATCTTTTTCTTTCTTTCATTATTAAGGCTCGAAACCTGCAGGTTCATACAGCCATAAAAACAGATATATATGCTTACACAGACGCATACACACATATATAATGAGTCATTCTTGGATCATACGTACATTAAATATTAATTTTACAGTCGCTTAGAAATTTTGTGATAGTTTCAATACATTTGACATCTAGTTCTCTCAGGATGTTAACGCTAGAGTACGGAGGGTAGAATTGATTTTTCCGGAAGGTGCTGTACATGGTTTGCCTAGGAGGATTATATCTTGGACAATCCCACAAAACGTGGTCGATATCTTCACTTGGATGTCCACACTCACATCGCGCTGATTCTATGAAGTTCTTTCTCTTCAGAGAACCAGCGAGATGGTAGTGGTTAGATCTCGCTCTATTAACCCACACTGGATAGTTTTTTGTTGTAGAACCATGGTTTGCGGGATTTAACAAAATATTCTCCCAAGAATTCTTTCCCTTTACCTCTTACAACTTCATCCGATCCCTCCATGATACAAATTTCTAAAGTAGAGTCCAGTGATCTCTTTTTGAAATTCTCACGATAGTCAGTGAACGGGATAATAAATTCCATGTTGGAAAGAGAAGCAGTGGCTTCGCCAGGCAGACGATCAGCCTCCTCATTGCCCTCATTTCCCGTATGTTTTGATGACCCAATAAATCAGAAATATCTCTAGAAGAATTCGAACTGTTGCCAGGAAAAGATATAATCTATTACACGACAATCATTTGATCCGAGAGATCTCCATAGGTTTATACCATAGAAAGAATACGTTGGCGAGGAAGGAAAATTTTTCCCCAAAAAAAATTGTCCTCTCGAAATTATTTAGTTCTGCCAATAACACAGTTATCGGCAAGTAAACTGTAGTAAAACTGTAATTGTAGTTTCCTCTTGGAATTATCATTTGTTCCATAGAAATTATAAGTGTTTATTGGACAAAGATACAGACTACTCAATAACATTCACTTGATAAAACCGGAGCTTCATATCAGTAGCGAGGTGGTGAGCCCGTTTAAGTCGACTCATCTCCCAGTTGAGTTTTTGAGGAATATTTCCGAATTTAAGGGAGATAGCGCAATTTTCGTAATGACATTTGTTGTAGCACTCAATCGGCTCTACAAAAAAGGTTATAATAACAATTTTGCTATCGCCCTTAGATTCCGAGATATTCATTGAAAACTGGTCACTAGTCAAAATTGACTTGTACCGTTTTCCTACTTCGCTACTGATATAATTCTCTGTAGAACGAATGTATTTACCCGGAAGATATAAATGTCTCACGAGAGCAATTACTACTACGAAAATTATGGTGTTTTGGTGGAAATTTTCTTTTTTGTTCATAAGTAAATGGATTCAACACGACGAAAGATCTCTTCAAAGGAATATAATTTTTCGGGAGAACTAATTTTTGCTCTCAGCGCAAACATGGAAATCATTTCTGAAATCATTTTGGCAATCATTTGGCCCTTTGTCTAGCTTATTTTCAAGTCATTGGGTTACCTTTTGGCAAAATAAATTTGGAATTACGTAGAAGTCGAACGAAATCATTGCAATCAGATGACAGAAATAAAAAAGACATAAATATTCCACGAGAACAATTACTACAATGAAAATTATCGTGTTTTAGTGGAAACTTTCTTTTGGTCCACAAGAACAAATATTTTCTCTCAGTGTGCATCCAGATACTCCAGGATATCTTTGATAGAACGGCTGTCTGACTAAATCAGGATCTACATCCCTTCCGCTCTTCCCCACACGCCCCGACGAAAACAACCTTCACGATGTAGAATATTCCTCAAACCTTTTATCCGATAAATCTCCATCTCCCGAGCAAATAGTCCCAATAAACCCGAAAATCTACGGATAAATCTCACTGAATATACTTTTATTTACTCAATGATGTTATTCTGTGGTGCTTTGCATGTCTATTGGACTCTGCATGTCGTATAGGACATCGTAAGTACTCAATATTAATCAGCGAAAGAATCTCAATAAAAAAATTGATTATTAGGTAGAAGGGAGAGAAGAAATTAATGTAGTGAATTAGAACAATGACAATCGACAATTGATGTTGATCTGGGAGATTATTTTCAGTTGTGCTGCATCCGAAGTATTTTCTCATTGAGAAAAGCCCAAGAATTAAATTTCTAATTTCATTTCTCATTCCAATCAAGTCGAGATGAATGTAACACAACTGAAATTCATCGATTTAATGAATATCAACTGTCATTTTTTGGGATGGCACAATACTCCTGAAATTTCTGTCTTCAAATGTTTCTTCAAGTCACAGTTTTCACTCAGTTTCAATGTAATTTCACTGTTAAAAATGTTACCCTGAAATTTCAGGTAACAGTTTTGAAAATTTCTGACAAGTAAAGTTTCTACTGACATTTCAGATTAATTATTCCTGAAAAATTAGTGAAAAGTCAGGAAAATTCAGAGAAATCTTCCCTTAAATTCCAAATTCCTGGGAATTTTCCTGGAATTCCTTAAAAAATTACAGGAATTCCAAGAATTTTAAAGGACTTCACTTCAAAATTCATGTAAATTGTGAAATTTTCGTCTTCCTGCCACTAAAAAATTGAAATTCCATTGGCTTTTTCCCCTTAAATCAAATTCAATGTCTTTTCCCGGTAAATTCAGCCAAATTTTTTCAACAGTGTAATCCATTCATCCAAAAAATCGTCAAATTCACCCCTTAAACAAGCATTTGCAGGCAGAATGTTCAGTAACAATCAGCACCAACAACAACTGACCCCAAATATTGATCCAACGTATTACAAAATCCCCTGGATATCCTCAAAATAAAAAAAAATCTCAAACACCAACAGACCCCCCTCCAACAGCCCTATATAACCCATTCTTTTTTCCTCAACCCCTTACGTTATTTCTTACACCCAACTTTTCCCTCCGGCTAATTCCCATGGCCTCTTGCCTCCTCCCCCCCCCCTCCAAATACCCAGAAAGAGATTAACGAGGGGACGGAGTGGAGCCACGTCTGTCAGTCGGAAAAAAATAACCCGGATTGAGGAAGCAATCATTCGAGATAAAAGCGAGAAACATTTCTGTCTTCCACTCTCTATATTTTTTTCCTCCCCCCCCCTCCCGCCCCACAACTTTTTAGCCTCTTTGTTTCTTCATCGGAAATCAGAAGGGAAAATGTTACAGAGACGAGTGGAGAAAAATTTTTCTCAATTCCAGCACAGCGGAGTGCCATTAACCACAGCAACTTTTCCCCCCTCGTCTGTTCTCTCTGGTCTTGGGAATCTCCTTTTATTTTTTTTCATCGTTTTGTCCGCTCTCGTGCTCGTTGATGTCTCATGGGATGAAGTTTCCTACCACAAGCCCTGGGTTATTATCTATTACATGAGTAATTACGATGAGTTTCGAATGGTATTACGGTGTTCTTTTGTTGGTGTTTAGCCAACGACAGTTGATAGTTAATATTTTATGGAGTATTGGGGATTTTTGTTGTTGATGAAGGCTGAGGGGTTGTTTATATTTTGATAGTAATATTATCATGATGAAATGTTGGTGATGAAGAACTTTTAGTCGTTGAAATCACAGCTGATTGGTGGAAAGGGTCGTAAGGGTCATAACGGTCGTAAGGGTCAAATATCACAGAATTAATATCTTATGATTTTTGCTCCCTATATTCTTATCTCCTATATTCTTACAGCTTGTCGTGACCCTTGTGATGTTCTTGGACATTATGACCCTTTAAAGGGTCACAAGGGTCGCAAATTTCATCTTAGAAATTACAAACGACTAATGAACGGTTGGGCAAGATGGACCAAAAATTTAAAAAAATTATTTATTTCAGGATTAAAAATAAAAATCATGGGATAAATGTATTTATCCCATGATGATTGACCCTTACGGCCCCTTTATGGTCCTTGTGCTTGCCAACGGCAGTTGATAGTTAATATTTGATACAGTATTGGGGATTTGTGTTGTTGATGTAGAATGAGGGGCTGATCATATTGTAATAGTGAAATCACAGACGATTGGTGGAAAGGGTCGCAAGGGTCATAAGGGTTTAATCGAACTTAACATCATGGAATGAAAACATTTATCTCATATTTTTTGCTCTCTATGCCCTTTCTTATAGCTTGTCGCGACCCTTGCGATGTTCCTGAACATTATGACCCTTTCAAGGGTCAAAAGGGTCGTAAATTTCACCGTTGAATTTACAAACGATCGTTGAACGGTTCGACAAGATGGACCAAAATTGAGAAAAATAATTTATCTAACAATTTTTTTTATATAAATAAATAAATAATCTCATCCCATGATTATTGACCCTTACGACCCCCTTGTGACCCTTGATCTCAATATGACAGACGTGCACAGCCTCTCACGTAGATGATTACTCAATTAAATGTGTATTTCCTTTTCGTAAGATTTCCATCTTCATAAATGTTGGTTTGACTATTGCGCAGTTTTCAATGAATATTTCGGGATCCAAGGCAGACAGCAAAATTTTCGTCAGAACCTTTTTTGTAGAGCGGATTAAGATCTACAAAAAAGATCTTTACGAAAATTTCTCCATCTCCCTTAGATTCGGAGATATTCCTCGAAAACTCAGCCAAGAGCGAAGTCAACTCAAATCGTTTTATCGCTTTGCTACTGAATTAATTAGTCCATTAATATTGATGATTATGATTTTATCATGAAGAGTGGACAATGATAAATGACTGCTTTTGGTTCAGGAGAAGGAGGATGGACCCGTTTACAAGTTCTACCAGAACATCAGGGACTACGGTGGTGACTTCATGGAGGAGATAACGAGGGTCCAGGACATCACCCTCTTTGCCCCGAGCAATGCAGCGTGGGACCAGCTGGGAGTGCAGGGAATTCTTCAGGACAAGAAGCGATTCAGGCAGATCCTCAGGCTGCACTACGTCAAGGAGAAACTGCCCCTCGAAAAGATCAAGGAGAAGAGCATCAGTTCGGTACGTTCATATCATTTTCACTATCACAATTTGTAATGAACTATTGGAGAAGTGAGTCATTCGGTTTGAGTCATCATGATAAACTAGTGGTTTTCATTGTTCATTCGAAAGTTGCTGCGGAAAGGAAAGGGACTGCAAGTTAGCGCGGTAATTACTGATGATTAAAGCATTATCAATGTTTGTCATTATTTGGGAATGACATTTCATAGTTTATAGTTGCAGTTTTTTTAATATATACAATTTATAAAGTAGATTTTTTTATGAGGAAAGCGTTTGGTGCATCCAGAGGAATAATTTCTAAGAAAAAAATTAATAAATGTTTTCTTGTCTCAAGTTAAAGTTTTGTTAGTTGGAAGTCAAATCATTATTTAGAAGATGCGTTTATTTAATCCTTATAGAGGATCTATTTGGAATGAGTGGATTATTTATTTGATTTAGTTGAAACATTTCCATTGATATTAAGAGAAAAATTTTACTTAGTTTTGTTTAATGCCAATGCGCCATTTATCTACGTGTAAATTAAAGATGCAATGCAAAAATTTATAATTAAAACTAAAAATTCCCCTTCATTTTACTGATTTCAACGACAACTCAACTTTAATTCGTTGAATTGATTAATTTCGTTGTGAATATGATGCGCACTACATCCTTAAACCCGAATAATTCCTCATATTTTGAAATTTCATTGTGTTCATACAACAATACACAATTGTTTCGCCTCTCCTTGATGACCACATACACCGTGAAATGTATATTCTGCATGATCCATATTTATTTCACTCTGTCTCTCCTCTCCGACAAGACTTCCGAGAGCCAAGGAGCAAATTAAAGCCAATTGAAATTAATAGAAAAATTAAAAATAGTTTTGTTTAATGCCAATATTGGCAATATTGGTTTGTTACGCATTGCGTAAACAAAAAAATTCTCAACCCCCTGTACCGCATTCGCCGAAGGACATGGAAAGCCTCATTTTGGGGGAAAAACCTGCCCAGGTACAGTCGTCTCTTGCGAGACTCCCGCTCGACAATGAAACCGCGCGATTTAGAGTGTCACAAATTTTGGCCCCCCAGCCGGGAATCGAACCGGGGTCTGCATGCCCACACTCTAACCACACAGCCACCGCCGTCGGTCTCCTTCATTTTATTAATTTCAACGAGGACTCTACTTTAATTCAATGAATTGATTAATTTCGTTGTGAATATGATGTGCACTACATCCTTAAACCCAAATAATTCCTCGAATTTTGAAATTTCATTGTGTTCGTACAACAATACCCAATTGTTTCGCCTCTCCTTGATGAGCACGTACACCGTGAAATGTATATTCTGCATGATCCATATTTATTTCACTCTGTCTCTTCTCTCCGACAAGAATTCCGAGAGCCAAGGGGAAAATAAAAGCCCGTAAACACGCAAACAAAGCAAGAACGAGAATTCTAGAGAACAATTCAATTTTACGCCGCAAAGATTTTCCCAGTACATTCGTTTTCGGGGGAGGAGGCTGGATAGCTCTCTCATTCCCCTGCAGGCGAAAAGTTCACTGGAGATGTTTAGCGATGTTGGAGTGGCGGGGGTTGGGGGGTGGCTAAGTGAGTAAGCTGCCGGAGCGCGGAGGATATGGAGCGATCGAGAAAGCATCGTACCGATTCACCCAGGAATTTATCTCAGACGCGATGTGGCGAGTTAAAAAGCGAGAAAGTGCTGGAACAAGTTTGTTGCTCCTTTGAACTATGGGAGAGTTCTTCGTGTGGAATGGTATAATATGATTAATTCTCGGGGATTTATCTCGGTCGGGCGCTCGTTGCTCGTGATGAGATCAGGATTATTCGTCATTTTGCGTTAATAATGATGATTTGGGATTTTTTAAATTGAAGTATTTAAAACGTGTGGTTTATTCTGCTAGAAAAAAATACGAATGGAATCGTATTCATCAGAATTGTATTCATTGGAATGAATTTGAATAATTACTCCATCTCTGTACTGAGAAAATTTCTTTTGCTAAGTAATCCTTTTTTTTGGGAGAAGAATTAATTTTTTTAGGAGGAGTCCATCTAAAAATATTACAATTTTGTTGAATTATTTTTCAATATTATTCACTTTTTTTTTCACTTTTTTCCAATTTGAAATTTTGTTAAAGATTGTCCAAGAAATTTGGCTATTTTTCGTCAGTGAAATGCTTTTCTACTATTTATTGTGGCTTCCGGATGGAAGCCATAATAAATGCTCTTCTACTTTTGACTCTAACTTTAATAATTTTATTATTAAAATTTTGCAGATCTGAATTTGAATCTCAATATTGAACCCTTAGAAAAATTAAAAAGTTTACTTTTGAAGAAAAATTGATGAAATAATTTTACAATTGCAATTTTTTAAAAGTACGAGCATGTTCTATAATTAATTTATAAACAATCATTTTTTGTTCTCGGTGTGAAATATTAATTCATAAACTCCTCTTCCCGTGATATTTTTCCTTTTTGAACCTCTGACAAAGCACCGAAACAATATGCGTACAGCTACACCGCCGCAATAAGGTTAATAGTCACCGATAAAAGCGATAAATTCCCGTTGTGTGTTTTCGAATATTCAAACCAAGTTCATCCCGCCTCACCAATCGTTGTTTCCCGGCTCCTCCTTTATGGTTATCTCTCCCGTAGATATCGAATTTATGAATCAAGGGGGCAAGCTGCTGCGAAAAAATGGCTGTTTTATGTTTCTTCATCCGGAATTTCCGTAGTTTCAGGGGTAAATCGAATGAATGCATTTTTATATGAATGGATTTTTTTTGCGTCATAATTGATTCAACGTTTAATTATTCGGGAAAATTAATGAAAAACGAGGAAAATTTCTGGAAACGCGGTAAATGCAAAGATGAATAAAGGACCGTTGTGGACTTCAGGATATCCGAAGATAATTTTCCCGATAATAAATATAAATGGAATTCATAAAATTTTTGCTCTTCAACACGCTTCCCCTTGAGAGAAACCATTCTTTGGTTCCACGATTTTTCTTCCCCGATATTTTTTCTCAGACATTTCTTCCAATTGCCATTTCTTCCTTGTCCCTTTCTTCCCCGACAGATTTTCATAAAACAAACTGTCTCCTCTTTTTCCCATCGATACCTGAGCAAATAATAATCTCCACCTGAACATTTCAAATCGCCAGAACAAGAACATTTCCACGAATAATTTTTAACATGACTGTGCAAGTAATGGAGATGATTATCCACAAGTAACATTTCCTTCCCTTTCGACGATAAAATAAACTCCAAAGGCATTGTGGCGACCATCCGGGCAAATAACTTATTGAAACTGTCATAGTTGAATGCTTTCGGTCATCACTCAGATCCGATAGTTGAAGATTATCCCCTCTCATTAAAAAAATCAATACACATTCGAAAATCAAGAAACGAGCGGGTTATCGCAATTCGGTCGAGGCTTACAAAAGAAGGATAATCTCCACTTATCATTACAATCAACAACTGTTTTGACCAATGTACGTCAAAGTATACAAATTAAATCCGAAAATTAGAAAGGAAAAAAGTTGGGGAAAAAGTAACGTGGGAAAAGTAGCATAGGAAAAATTGACGCGAGGAAAATTTGGGGAGGAACAAATGTCGGGGAAGAAAAATCGGGGAAAAATGTCGAGGAAAATAAGACGGGCCACCCATTCTTTATTCTGCAGTGATCTCTGAGGTTACGCCGAATACAGAGACAACACTTGGCACTGTCTCTCGATAGTAAATTACAACGACGTGGGTGATGAGTTTTTTGGATAAAGGTATATCGATGGAAAAAATTTACATATGTTTATGCGCGTGACTACGTACAGCGAGAACCCCTCTATAGAGTGTGACAGGCTGACCAACTCTGAGGGAAAAAAACTGGCGTCGGAGCGACGTTGCCACTTTTTTTACACAAATTAATTACTTTCCATTTATTATTAAAATTGCATATCAAAATTTTTTGATGTATGTAGGATGTAGGAAAAAAATTAAATAGTTACAAAAAATACTATTTGACTACAGAAGAATCTAAATATGGTCGGATTATTTAATTGAAAGAAACCGAATGTTTGTGTTCAGGGAGTGGTTTTCTGCAGGAATGCAATAGATTCCCCTCCGCCTCACCTCCTATATTTCGTCATCGCTTGAACGTCGTTAACAGTGTGGCATTCATAATTTTTTTATCTCCATTATATATTCGTCCTGAAATTTCAATTATCCAAAATACTCTGCGGTATTTGTCATAATTGATATAACACTTCAGAGTGCGAGTAATGTGAACAATGCGGAGCATTCCCAATATACTAGAAACATATTGATTGTCATAACTGAAGCTGAAGCCCGATTCTACTATTGAGAACCCAGAATTTGGGGCGAAATATGTACATTACATACTCGGGTTAATGATCATCAGCAGTGGGAAAATCGGTCATAATATTGCGATAACTGTTATCTAAATTATGGTTAATTGAGCATCCGGAGAGGATACGGTGGGGTGCATCAATATGACAGGAGATGTTGATTCGTCAGTTTAATGAGTGAAGGGAGGGTTCATTGGGTATTTTTCGAATCGCCCGGAGAATCATTAGTTCGCTGTTATTCCGAGGATTTCAGTACTCGATTTATTGAATTATTTGGTGCGGAGGTTCTGGACCGCTTAGATGCAGTCATTTAACGCGCTGATTGGGAGTGGAACTTGTAACAATGGGAAATACTCCGGTGAATATGATATGGGAATCGACCGGAAGCAGAGGGGTCTAGGATTTGGGCCATATTGAATTCACAGTTCAATTAGCAATAGTTAATTGCAAGCATCAATACCCCTTTAGGACTAATGGAATATATTTCCAATAAGGTTTTTGTTTAGGTACCCTGAGGGGTTAATCAGCAGTGAAATCGTAATGTCATTTTTGAATAAACATTCGTTTCTTTTTATTTTAGTTATTTATTTCAGTAGCGAAGTGGTAAAACGGTTTAAGTCGACTTATCTCCCAGTTGCGTTTTTGAGGAATATTTCCGAATCTAAGGAAGATAGTGAAATTTTCGTATTGACATTTGTTGTAGCTCTCAATTGGCTCTACAAAAAAGCTAATAATAAAAATTTTGCTATCTCCTTTAGATTCCGAGATATTCATTGAAAACTGGTCAATAGTCAAAATTCACTTGTGAACGTTTTACCACTTCACTACTGATTTAATCTTGAATGGGAAAGAAGTCGAGGATTCGGACTGGGAAAGGAATGATAGGAACAGCAGAAATCAATTGTTCAAATGAATCCGAAAAAGTTGAAAAGGAAGAGAAATCTATTCAAATATTCCAACTCGTTATGGTTTTGAAGGGTCAAGGGTGAAGTTACTTATGTAAATATACAACTCATTAATAATAGTTTTTGTAGTGCTAATTAATCTCAACTACCCTTTATGATTGATACTATTGAGGAAAACATTCCAAAAAAGTGAGAATATTAAAAAATAAATAAATGAAGAAAAAAATGGAGAATAAAAATGAAATATTCATAGTTTGTTAAAGATAATATCCATCAGATAAAGTCGGGAAGTTGAATAGGAATTGCCAATTCTCATTTTTGAAATTGAAATTGCTACAGATCCATTCGGAAGCTTACTACCAATGGAATTGGTAGAAAAAGAAAGACTAATAACACATGAAGAAAGAGTCACATGGCTTCTACCGAATAGGAGCTGCTTGTTTCCATTCGGGTTTTCCAGACTGATTATTGTATTTAAAAAAAATACAAACAGCGACAGTATCAGATGTGAAACCCTGCACGTTTTCGAATCAAATATTCTGCATGAAAATTCTGGATATATCTGTATTTATTAAAGATCTGTAAATATTTTCTTTCTGCGGAGATGAACAAATTTCATAGGAAAAACCAAAAATTTCGATAGAGAATTTTATTCAATTTTTATTAATTATATTGAAAATTCTGTAATTTTTTTTGTTGATTCTACTGGAGAAAACGCGCTGATAAACTGCGAAATTTTTTCAGCAGAAATGTCTAAAAACTAATTGAAAGTTCAATAGAATTTTCTAGCAATTGCTGGTTTTTCTTTGACATTTTTTCGCACCTGCGCTGCCGAAGAGAAGCTTTTATCTTTCGCACTATTAGAAAACATTGAAATTTCATGGACATTGACTAGTAGTTTTCCAGAAATTTCAAATTTCACTGAAAATTCAATGAAATTCCAGATTTTTAAGCAACAAGAAGACGAAAAATGACCCACTCACTTAATTTTTCAATAAAATACCGCAAAATTTTCAATTACCTAAGAGTTAAAAAAGATACTGACCTGAATTTTCCTGATTTCTAGGAATTCCCATGAAACAATTGAACTAAAATTTACAGTTTCCTTGATTTTTCCCTGAAATTTGAATTTTCACAGCCAAAATTCCCTGAAATTCCAGGGGACCTATGTTCTGCTAAAAAATTCGACTGAATGTACCGGGAATTTCAGCTAAAAATGCCAACACAAACGATCATATTTTTTTTCCTAAGGTTCGAACAGCAGCCGACCGCCGGGACCTCTTCTTCAATGTTGTGGATGGCTTCGACGGGAAGAAAGTTGTGACAGTAGAGGGTGGTGGTGTTAACGCAACCATTTTGACAGCAAACATCGCTGCCACCAACGGCATCATCCACATAATCGATCGAGTCTTAGGAATTCCTTACACAACTGTTTTGGAGAAACTCAGGACCGATCCGATGCTCAAGTAAGTGAAACTCCAAAATGGGAATTGAAAACTCGTGGGAGGGGGGGGGGGGGGGGGGNGGGGGGGGGGGGGGGGGGGGGGGGGGGTAGAAGTAACTTTCGACGTTGAACAGATCACTTCGTATAATGTGATTAAATATCCCTCACTGAGATCCGATAATGTAATTTATCGGTGCAATCCGATTTGAGGCGAATGAGTTCGTAACCCGATTGGAGAATAGAGATGATTGAAATGAAGAAATAATATGCGCTGGATATTTACGTTTGGAGCTTGAAGAGAAATGTGACATGAATAACGAGAGGGCTCATGAGGTTTTTATGGGTTCATTGGTTATTCAACCCTTTTAATCGATTTAAGCGTAAAAATAGAGAATGTGAACGTTCATTACGCCGATTATAGCTAATGATAAAAATTGATTTATTTTAATTGGATGGTTGCGATGTGAAATTCATTTTTTACGACTTAATATAGTCATTTTTAACGGACAAAACTGTATAAAGTGTGCGGACGAAAAACTCATTTTCAAAAGTTTTAAAAACTCGTTCTTTTTTCATCAGTTTTTGCCATTGAACGACGAGAAATTACTCAAATCGCATGAATTTTTACTACGTTAAATTGTAACTTTTTCTTACGATTTAAAACTCTAGTTTGTACTCTCGCGCCTTCTACATCTTACTCGAGGAAATGGCAGAAATTACCATGTTGACTAGTAAAAACTCCAGCAGACGAGGAGAGCGTCCATTGTTTTCAATTCTTGGAATCTCCTCCCTCCGTCGATCACGCAATGGCCCGGGCAGTGGATTCTATGATTCTAAAAAAATCAATCCTTCCTCTCCCTCCTCCTCTTCTCCCGAATGAATACACGTGGAGCAAAATTATTGATAATAATTTTCAAGGATGATAAAGAAGATTAAATATGGTTTTTCACTTCGGTCATTCAAAAAATCCCCCCCTCTCTCGTCCTCTTCCGTGAATATTCAATTTGGAAGAGGGCGGGGGGGGGGGATATTTGTTAACCGACGAAGTAAAAATTCATGTTTATCCTCCTTCATGTTTAAATTTTACTCGTGTCAATTGGAAATTTAACTTTTAGACTACCATTTTTTACTAAACCGTCTCTCAATTTTTACTATGTTCAGCAGTAATTTTTTCAACAGACTCCACCATATTTTCATTTTATTAGCCGTATTTTTTCATCCAGCACGTCGTAGTTTTTCATTTATTCTTCAAAACACTATGTTCTTATTGTAAAAAATAATTTTCTATTCTTTCAAATCATAAACTTTCAAATTTCACTGAAATTTCAATTTTGAACCCGCCATTTTCAATTTAATTCCCAAAATAACGAAATCATGAAGTTAATTTCAATAAATTTTCCTTGTCCCTCGAAATAAAACCCTAGCACTTGGCAAGTGGAACGAACGTTCGTCAGTAGCGGCATTTTCAATGTGAAACAAAAATAAAATGAAATGTGTATTAATGCCGAGTGAGAGAAGTGAATGGAGAGACCAACGAAGTGAGCGAGGTAGCAGTACTATTAAGCCGTTGGTAATTGCACGTGCACCCCAGTCAGTTTAAACTTGCCAGTTAGAAATGGGCCGGAGTCTTCTCTCGTTGAGCGTCCAACGGTGGACGTGCTCCAGAAAATTGCCAATTTGCATTCGGTTTCTTCGCTCGAGTACGAGCACCAATCTACTCGTTCGCCGCACTCTTTCGCATTTTACTTAATTCTTTTTCTTTGCTTTCCATTCGGGAAAAAGTTTATGGTGGACTTTTCAACTGAGTGTAATATGTATATTGAAGTGAAATGGGTGGATTAATGGTAATCTGCATGTGAGAGGGGAGTAAATCAGGGGAAAAAAATGGTGGCTATTTTGTTATTCATGATGGGGCATTAAGACTCCCTCGTGTCTCGTGGTAGATTAGTTTTTGTTTCTTGAAATGCCTCCAGGGCCAGCAAGTTTGTTAATGGCTTTTACTGTTGCCCCATGCCTCATATACTCCATAATGTAGCGAGGATAAAGAGGTGCTCTTTACTGTATTAATGATTTCTCTTGGCTCCGAGGTGTAATGCAAAAATCTTTAATTAATCAAAGGGATTCCCTTTTAAATTTGTTGATTTTAATGAGGGTGGAGAGAATTTTAAAATAATGTCATTGAAATTCTCCCGTATGATGATGTCAACACACTGAGAGGAGAAATTAGTCTTGCGGAAAAATTATCTTCCCCTCAAGAGATTTTTTGTCGTGTTCAAGTAATTTACGTGGGGACAAAAAAATAAAGTTTCACCCTTCAATTTTGAAGACTTTTGGACCTCAATTTCGAACGTCCTTAAGGGTCGTTTGACCTGCAAGACCATTTGAACCTCAATTTGATCACCGCAACAATTTAATTTTAGTAAAAGATACTAAATAGCCTTCTATCAAGTTGATTAGTTTTTCGGCCGAGCAAATTTTTAATTGACTTCTATTGATTTTCATTCAGTGGTTTAATTCAAATGTACACTTCATTGATATTACTATCAAATCGTGAATTCTAAGTGACAAAATTCCGAAAATTTCGTTAAAATAACTCGTCATCACGTGACTTTCGAACTTAATAAAAAACTGACAAATAGAATTGCATATGCAGGTCGAGTTGCAATCTCTCGACTGCTCACTAGTTCAATCAGAAGGGAATACGCTCGATGCCAATCCCGAGACCATTCCATACCGAATATCTGCATATATGCAACACCTACGTATTTTATACGGTCGTTAGTTTTCACAGCATTACCACTGGAGCCACCGATAACAGTCGTTTCAGCCATCAATGCATCAAAGATGCATGGCTAAATCAAACCTCGATTCACATATGCGTGGCTCTAGTCTGACGCATTGAAACGTACGCGCGATAGCTTCTATTGACCAATGTCTGTGGATCAATCCCCGCCCGGCAAAATCCTCACATTGATGATTCTGTTTTATGTTTTTTTCGGGTGAGAGGAGAAATCAAAGGAAATGGAAAAGCGCATCTTGAAAGAGAAAAGTATCGATAATTTTCAGATTTTTTTGCAGAATTTTATATTTTAAGAGTCCGTCGATAGAATATCCGCCGGAAATTTAAATTTCCATTGAATTTCCACTGAAATTGCACGATTTCCCCCCTAAAATTGAATTCAATGCCACTCGTCTGGGAATTACTACAACGCTGTCCACGAAATTTCAATTTTTCCCAACATTATTCTCAATAAATACTTCAAAATTGATAGAACACTCCTCTCAACTTCCCCCAAAACCGGAATAACCCGACCAGACCCTCAATTACAAAAATCGTAAAGCTCAAACTCAGTTATTTTCATTTCATTTCAACGCGCTTTCATCGTAATTTTTTTTTTCATGACGTTTTACGAGTCCAATGCTGTTCACATCGATACACACTGTTAACCAAAAAGCATGAAACTCGACGGAGAGGCCGTATGTAGACGTGGGGGTAACATTTATCGCAGTGATAATCCTCCTGGTTCACGCGCAAATACTGTTGAAAAAAAACGAGTTGAAAAAAAAAAGTATGTGCAGGGGATAAAAGTTATGATGCGGTTTTCGTTGGAAAATAGTATTTGTCAGGTACCGTGCTTTGTCACTCGTGCAAATCCAGGGAGAAAACTATGCGGATTGAAACAGATTTAATTCTCATTGTTGTGCTATCCTCGATCGGTTTATCATGCAATTTGTGGTGTTTCATAGGAATTGTGTTTTATTCCAGTCAAACTTATATGCTTGGCAAACGGCGGAATTTCAACGATCAGTTGGGAGATACAAGCAAACGTTTTACGTACTTTGTGCCCTATGACAAGGCCTGGGAGGATGCCAAAGTGGTGACTCCAACTGCGTATAATAAACTCTTCTTGACCAACTATGATTATCACGTGAGTATAAGATGAATAAAAAAAAGGGGTAAAATGGAGCGGTGAATTTCGTTACTTGAAGATCACGTGGGAGGGAAAGGTCAATTGGTCAAGAGGGTCGTCTCTCCTATTTGACTCACGTGAGCGTTAGAGTCTTGAGATGATTTGACCCTCAATTTTGAGTGTTTTTGAATCTCAATTTCGAACATTCTCAAGGATTGTTTGACCTTCAAGACAATTTGACCCTCGATTCTGAACGTTCTCAAGGGTCAACTGACCCTTTAGATCGATTTAACCTCAACTCCAAACGTTCTTAAGGGTTATTTAACCTTGAAGATCATTAGACCCCTCACTCAAAAGGTTGTGAAGGGTCATTTAACCCTCAAAACCATTTGACCCTTAAATTCAAAGTGTCTTAAGGGTCGTTGGATTCTCAGAGACGTTGAACCCTTCGTCATTTTTTGAGTAGCAGAGATGGAGAAAGAGTTGTTGACCCTCAAAATTTGACCCTCAAGATCATTTGACCCTTACGACCCATTGACCCTCCCCTAAATCCAAAAAACGCCATCTAAACACCAATAAAAAAATTGAACGCAACGTAATTGTTAACATCTAGGCGAAACAAGTACTAGAGCGACACTTGGTCTCATCAGACAAACCCTGGACGATGGGTGCCCTGAAGAATGCCACGAGCAACGGCAGTATCGACCTCAAAGCGCAGAGAGATGTCCTGAAAATCCGCATCAGGGAGGAGCATGGCCGTGAGTATTCCACCCCTCATATTATTACAACCCCCTCGACATTCTCATCACCAATAAAAACCAATGGTCGAATACCATTTTCCCCACCGTGTAAATCCCCGTTTTACCTTTATCGCTATCGCAAACTATCGGACTCTATCTGAATTTTTTTTACTCCCTCAGTAAGACCTCAAAATCTCAAACTCTTCCCCCCCCCCCCAATTCTCTCCACTCGTCTTATCTCCTGTGATGATACTCACAGTCCGTTGTACAATTTCCATTACTACGCCAGACGATCAGAGGTACGATGAAAATGCAATACGTCCTCGTAATGCTTCCTTCTCCGGTGAGTTTACCAGTTGTTATGCGAGGGCTTTGAAAGCACCTCATGCCCACAACTGTTTATTACGATTGTCAAGTTGCATTGAAATAGCGCGCTTTACATGTAGACAATGAGTGGCTATTGCAGCACGAATAAAGCGCGGACACTGGAAGTACCTTGGGCACTCATGGGGCACTCATTGTACATGAGCTGTGGGAAACATGAATATTTTTTTATTTTTCACTTTAAGTGCGAATTGTAGTGCAAATTACATTCATCCATCTCGTCGTTTCACCGAGTAAAATGAATTCAATTTCAGAAATTCACGATTTTTTTCACATTTTTTTGGGGGAGCTTGCGTGAATATTTTGCTTGCAAAATGTTCAATGGGAATTTCGTGGATTTTTCATGTAATTCGTTTCTCTTTTTGAAATTTTTTACTACTTTATGATTTTATTGAAGGATTTTTGTAATTGATGATTGAAATTTTCATCGGAATTGGAGTTTTTTTCCCGGTTAAAAAATTTCCGAAAAAATTTACCGGGGATTTTTCGCAAGGAAAAAAATCCGAGAACCAATATCAAAGACGATACATGGACTCCATAAAAATCCCTTCAATTTTTATTCACCTGGGGCGCATTCTAATGGTTCATTCCGCGATCCCAGTCACATATACCCCGGAAAGCCCCCCAGGAATCGACTCCCTGGGTAACATGTTCCTTTGAAAGTATCGACTATGACCCAGTCTAGACTATAAAGACAGTATTTATGTGGGCACCATAAATACATATCGTTATAGCCAATGGTGGTCATCGACGATGGCCAACGATCGTACCAATAAATCGTATCGTTATACCACTCCCTCCCACATCCTCACTCTATTTTCCCACTGCACTCTGCATCAATTTCAGTTTTCTTTCCTTCGGTTCCCCCAAATCGCCAAAAAGGGCATTTTTACTTTACGATAAATCGTTGAGACCGGAAGACAGTGGAAATCAGTTCCATTGGCGAGTTTTTCGTACTCCTCGGTTCATTCGCGAGCACAGTTCTCCATAGGAGGATCCATCTTTATTTTATTTTCGTCCGTCAAAGGGTTTCATCGTTTCTTTGTTGAACTACTAGAATAAAACTAAATGTTTTCCATTATTCTGGATATCCTGACGAGACGACATGGGACGATTTATTATGCAGGTATCCACTGTCATTTAAATTCCAATTCCTCGATTATGTTCGATGCTTTGTCTTTTTTTGAATAATAGAGTTGTTGGCCCTCAATTCCGATGTTCTTAAGGGGTGATTGACCTTCAAAATCATTTGAGCCTCAACTCCGAACGTCCTTAAAGGTCATTTGACCCACAAGATCATTTAACCTTCATATGAAAACGTCCTTAAGCGTTGATTAACCCTCAACTCCAAACGTCTTTACAGGTCATTTGACCCTCAAAATCATTTAACCCTCACCTCCAAACGCCCTTAAGGGTAGATTGACCCTCAAGATCATTTGACCCTCAACTTCAAACGTTCTTAAGGGTCGTTTGACCCTCAAAATAATTTAACCCTCAACTCCAAACATCCCTAAGGGTCGTTTGACCTTCAAGACCCGTTGACCCTCCATTTCGACCGATCATAAGGTCTATTTGACCCTCAAGATCATTTAACCCTCAGCTTGAAACGCCCTTAAGGGTAGATTGACTCTCAAGATTGTTTGACCCTCAACTCCAAAATCCTCAAAGGTCTTTTCTCCCTCAGAAACATCCATAACCATTTCATTTCTATTCACCAAGAGGAGTTTCATCGTTTATTCACTCGACTACTGAAATGAAACGACTGAATGTTTTCCATTATTCTGGGTGTCCCAGCGAGACGACATGGGACAATTTATTATGCACCTTTCTGCCGTCATTTAAATGCAAATTCCTTGATTACCCATTCTCACGAGCTAATTGCTAGGTGGGGGAGTTAAACAAGTTGGGGGATACAAGTGTGGGACTGTCCATTGAATCCACCACACATGTTCCCTTTCAACCTGAATACCCATCCTTATTCTACTAAACATTTATCAATTATTTAAAGCCATATTTAAACTAATCAATTGCTAAACTCATTCTCCATTCCTCTAGTTATTCGGGGATATCGCATGTTTGCTTTACATCCACCAAAATATGCTAAAGTATTCAGAAAATATTCAATCGAGAGCTATGCAATCACTCATCCAGAGAGAATTGTGCATTTATACATTTATTTTTGTAGCATTTCCATTTGTAACATCAAAGGCATTCATTTATCATTCAATTCATTCAAAATAAATCAGTAGCGAAGTGGTAAAACGGCACAAGTCAATTTTGACTATTCACCAATTTTCAATGAATATCTCGGAATCTAAGGGAGATGGCAAAATTTTTTTCATCACCTTTTTTGTAGAGCCAATTGAGAGCTACAACAAATGTAATTATGAAAATGGCGCTATCTCCCTTAGATTCCGAAATATTCCTCAAAAATTCAACTGGGAAATAAGTCGACTTAAACCGTTTTACCACTTCACTACTGAAATCATTAAATGTGAATGAAGTCTTCCTTCGAATCGAATACACATTTTTTATGTTGACAAAACTATTCATTTCATGTGAGTAAATTTTTTTTTCATGTTTAACAGCGAAATGAAATTGTTCTTCTGGGTGCAGTGATTTTTCTTTTTTCTCTGAAAATCGAAGCTTTCGCTCTAGCATAGGCCTCAACCAATCAAACACAATGCCCTTTTGAAGCATTAAAAAATATTTTTCAATCCTCTTATTGGATATTCCAGGCTTCCAGATCCAATGGAGTGGCAAGCAGAAGTGGATCAATGTATATCGGCCAGATGTAGCCTGCACAAATGGAATAATTCACGTAATCGATGATGCTTTCCTCCTGGAGAGTGACATAACAGTCACGGACGACAGAGACTCAGCATCCCTCGCCAGTCTGGCACCCCATCTCATCATAATTCTGATCGCCAAGTGGCTCTTGTAAAGACAATCACTCGAGGCTCAAGAGACAACAATTATTAACAATTTAGGTGCATCCAATTGCGAATGGACTTGTTTTCATCAACAAAACATCTGGTGACTCTTCAATTTAATGATTAACAGGGGAATGAGGGAGTTGAGGGAAACAAATGCCAGTGGCTTGCACGTCCATTAATTAAAGAATTTAATTAAAAGTAGATTATTATTTATTCTTAATTGAAATATACGTATGAAAAAAAATCAAGCGCATTCTATGGAAAATTCCATTGAAAATTGCATAAGTTTTTTCGGGATTTTTTTCTATAAAAATTGGTTTTTGCATTAAAAAAAAAAAAATGAAAGAATACAAAAAAAGAATAGATTTGGATTGAAAGTTGGAGAAAAACTCATCCAATTTCCAATGGATTTTCCAATCAAATTTTTTCATACGTGTAAAAAATATATAAAACTGTCAGTGAGGATGATTTTACGGGTTAGATCGTTAATCGTACCAAATAACGAAGAAAAATGTACCAAGTAAAGTAACAGTTGACTCGAGATATTGATATCTCAATGAAATTAAAACCAAAAGTTAAGAAATTTCGTTGTCACAATCTGTCGATATTCAGTGATTTATTATAATTACCCGCACGAAGAAAAATTCATAGAAAAACTTACGAAATTCATTACAAAATTTTTGGCTAATTTCTAGACTTTTATTGAGACATTTTCTACACGAATTCCTTGACATGAATTTTCCGAGTTTTTCCACTCTATTTTTCTTTTCTTTTCATTAAAAAAAAAAATTAAAAAACTTGGAAAATTTGAGCCGAAGAATTTCAGCAGAAAACATCTCAATAGAATAAATTTTACAGAAAAACCGAATCCTATTAACATTTTCTGTAGAATCTTATCCATTGAACCTAATTTTTAAATAAAATGTACCAAAATATGAATTTTTTTTCGCGCATTATAAATACGCTCCTAAGTGTCTCCAAAGTCGATGTATTTAGTTGATAATAAATTATTCGACAGTTGTGACTGATGATAATTAATGAACAGACGAGACGTGAATGATGTACGTGTTATGTATAAATTTAAATATAGTGTCTATCATACTTATCGATCAAACGAACTGCCAGGCAAATTAAATGAGTGCATTTGTGCTTGGATTGTTTTGTACCATCTCGATCATTCTCATTCATCTTCTAAGTTTTACCTGTGGACATTCTAATGCTCCACCGGATGAAAATGTGTTCCATTTAACGAATATATCAACGCTATCCCCTTTTCATTCATCAACACTCGAAGAAAAAAACTCGAAACTTGCAAGAAATGTCGATAATCGCTAGAACATCAGTAAATAAACTCTTTCCTATAGTGAAATTTAAATAATAAAATACGTGTTAATATCATACAATCGATGTAACATCCATAAATTAATGGAGCGGGGGTCGAAGAGATAAGATTGATAACTAAAAATAGATAATTGATTAAACTGAATATGACTCGTGAGAAAAAAAAATTGATGAACAGAGAGAAATTAATCTATCTAACGATAAACTTACACTTGTTGGAATTAATGATATTATAATATAACTATTAAACTATTGAGTATATTAATAGACTTTAAATCACACTGTTTGTTCGAAAATGAAATAGATCATGAAAAAGAATAACTAGATCTCTATCTCTCTGTATAGGTAAATACGTGTTTTACTGTTCAGCTCGTCTTGTTCGTTAGAAGTATCTCAGAGTTAATGAGCAAGTGTGTAAAAAAATTTAATCATTGTAAGTCAGGATAAAGTGCAAACATTAAACTCTCTCTCACATTTTAATTTGGGGAATTTAATCGCCTCATGCAGTTTTTAATATTTTTGCGAGGGGTGTAATGAATATGAGAGGAATATTCAATTAATTTCGATTCGAATTCTCGGTAGAAGATCACATTACATTCTTGAATCGTCACTAGTGACAAGTTCATTCACCGAATCGTTGTGCTGGCATTAAAATATCAGAGTTGAGCGTAAAAATTAAGGAAATATTTGATTGGCAGTGTCGCTTATTGCCCTGTCAATTACTCGCTGTTTCAAGTATTAATGGTACTGACGTTTAACAAATAGACTCTTAAGAGTGAACACCATTTTATTGTAAAAAACATTGTTAATCATCTCGGGGAGAATTATTAATTTACCTGATAGCTTGGAATTCTCCCTTAATCATAAACTCTAGTGAATATTGAACGTTTCACTCCATCTGTACTCATTAACGCGAATAATGTCAATAAATCGTTTGCACCAAACGCTCATTTGGAAATTTGTTGACAGAAAAGGATTATTAATCTAGATTAATTGAGGCAAATCTTGTGGAAGTTCCAGAGATATTCTGCTAAGAAGTTTTTATCGAAATATTCGCAAAAAATACCAGCAGAAATTTTTCTATCAATATTTCTGTAAAAACAAAAAAACACGAGGGGGAATTAAATAATTAACGAATTAAGTTTCATAAGTCTTTTCATACGTTTTTTTCACTGAGAAACATCTTCAAACTCTTAAGAGCAAACATTTTATTGTAAAAAACATTGTTAATCATCTCGGGGGAATTATTAATTCACCTGACGGCTCGGCATTCTCCCTCAATCATAAACACTAGTGAATATTGAACGTTTCACTCCATCTGTACTCATTAACGCGAATAATGTCAATAAATCGTTAGCACCAAACGCTCATTTGGAAATTTGTTGGAAGAAAAGGATTATTAATCTAGATTAATTGAGGCAAATCTTGTGGAAATTCCGGAGCCATTCGGTTAAGAAGTTTTCATCGAAATATTCGCAGAAAATATCAGCAGAAGTTTTTCTATCAATATTTCTGTAAAAACAAAAAAACACAAGAGGGAATTAAATAATTAACGAATTAAGTTTCATAAGTCTTTCATACGTTTTTTCACTGAAAAAGAGAAACATTTTCGAAAATCGTTGAGAATGACTGCTAATTGTGTAATCACATAAATCCAACTTGCTAATTAATGATAAAAATCAACTACTGAAACAGGGGTGATTGTCAATTGAGTTTTCCATCGAAATGATATATCACAAATGAGAGACAGGCTTTTAACATTTTTGTACACCCAAACTGAGGTAAGTTGAGAATTCTAGAATAAAGAGAAATGATGATTCAGTAGGAAGTCGTATTCAACGATTGTTTAATAGTTACTGACGAATGGACGACGTTTACGAGTAATTTTGGATTATTGAGGGGTGAGAATAAGCTACTTAGTGCTGATGCAACGTTGAATTGCACTAGGAATTCATTTTTTGATGGAGGGAAGCAATTGAAGGGGAGATTATGGAGATAAGTTATTTATAAGATCTAATTTATTTGCCTATATATAAAAATTATGAGGAAGTTATATATTTAATGCACACTGCTGAGAATTTTCACGCGAAATTTTAGACGGAAGGCTCTTGAATTGAATTGTGATTTTCAGTCGAAATGTCGAAGGAAATTCCCGGCAGTGGAGGAGAATTCAATTTTTGTGAACCAGTACTATCTGTATAAAAGGCATTTCCGTTTGTGAACAAAAAAGCCATACTATATTATTAATTGATATTTAAATTAATTACGCCATTTTGTCGAGTCGATCTAGCATTTCTAAGAGCAGTTTATTACATTATACTTCGGATTGATGAAAAAAACCCATCGATCAATATTTTTTTTAGAATTAACTGATAAGTTACGTATAATTAACGAATGTGAGTGGAGGTGTTGGATTTTTCTTTCAGTTCTGAATATCCCTTTTGCCACGAAAGATTAATCAGCAAAATAAACACCTCATAGAGTATAAATACGAGTGGATCGTGGGTCTGTGTGGTCAGACTCGTGATGGGAACCAAAGAAACGCGTCGATAATATTTCCTTTCTGATTTATTTAACATGAGTGAATGAAAAAATAATTCGACGTGCTTCTCCAGATTTTTTCAACGTCAAAAGAAACATTTATGTGCTCTCTGTAAACACTGAAGCTTTTGCTGTATGATTTTATGACGAATAAAGTACACATATGAGAGATTTACGACATCTCAATGTTCTCATTTTCCCAAGATGAAATAATAATTAACTTTCTTTGTGCATGGCTAATTGAGAGGGGAATGTACTGAATTTGAAAATATAAATTCATCCCCTGGAATAAATTTGTACTCTTTGATGGTGAAATGCATTCTGAAATTACCATCATGTTACTACTTGATATTCAAATTAATTATGCTATTTCGTTGAGGCGATCAATATTTTTTTTAGAATTAACTGATAAGTTACGTATAACTAACAAATGTGAGTGGAGGTGTTGGATTTTTCTTTCATTTCTGAATATTCCTCTCTCCACGAAAGATTAATCAGCAAAATAAACACTTCATAGAATATAGATACGAGTGGATCGTGGATCTGTGTGGTCAGACTCGTGATGGAAACCAAAGAAACGCGTCGATAATATTTCCTTTCTGTTTTATTTAACATAAGTGAATGAAAAAATAATTTGACGTGCCTCCAGATTTTTTCAACGTCAAAAGAAACATTTATGTGCTCTCTGTAAACACTGAAACTTTTGCTGTATGATTTTATGACAAATAAAGTACACATATGAGAGATTTATGACAACTCAATGTTCTCATTTTTCTAAGATGAAATAATATAGTATCTTACATTACAAGTGCATAAACTGGGTCATATGGGCGAGTGGTGTGATGTTTTTACCGAGTGTCGTCTGCGGCGAGAGTTTGCGTAAGCCTACCATTCTCGATAAAAAAATCCCACACGAGTCTGCATACAAATAAAGACTAAATTTCCTTTCCTAAAGCTAGTGGTTAGAAAAGTTTCCTGAAATTGATTTAAATAAAAATTCACAAATATACTGTTTCGCAATGACCAAGCGTGCAGCCTGAGTGACCGTTGTAAACGCTGTGACACGAATTATACACCAACACTACATAATGCACAACGAGCCGTAGACCGCAGAGCCGTAGAGCAGAATCCTCACGACTAGGCTGGCCTCCGGTATGTGACATGGCGGCACTGCTAAGAGCTCTCAAAATGATGTTAAAAAAGTAGCCTTTTTTAAACAAGTTAAAAAAGTTGCACTTTTCTACACTCCTTTTTTTCACGTGTTAAAAAAAGTGGACTTTTTTTAACTACTCTAGAATATATCCAAAAAGACCCACTTTACGCACGAAAAATAGTGAAAAAAAGTGCACTTTTTCATGCACGTATGTCAAAAATTAATTTTCTTTGAGCAGAAGTAATTGAGAGGGGAATGTAATCAATTCGAAAATAGAAATTCATCCCCTGGGATGAATTTACACTCGTTGATAGGTGAATGCTTCATGAAATCTCGTAATGAAATCTATTTTCGTCACGGGGGAACGAGGGCTCGAGGAACTCAACGCCTGGAGCATCTGTTCTGTTATACTCTCGTCGTAATCTGGGGAACGATGCTCGGGATACTCTGCCTCCTCGTAATCCCAAATTCCCTGATTTTGGGCTGCTGGGGTGAAGTTGCACACGATAATTCATCCCCTAAAATCAACGTCAGTAAGTCTAGGAATAAAACTCCTCCTGGAGACGTGACTGTTACGTTAATATCGCGGGTGAGGTCCTTAATGTCACGTTGTGTCAAGTTGCAGCAACTTCAAACGTTACTGGTAACGATACAATGGAAACGCAGACGACAATCTGTAGAATTTCGTCAGATCGAATAATTGCGGATGCTGAGGCGACTGTTACCAAGGTTCTTACTGGGGGGTGTAATGCGAGTGAGTGAATATCATTTTATTCAATTTTGAAGTGAATTAATGAAAAAAATAAAATAAAAGGAAAATTTTGTTGACATCATTTCGTGAACATCTCGAAAATGAAGGGAATTTGCAGATTTTGTCAGAAGACATTGTTTTAGCTCTTTGAATTCTCTAGAAAAGTGTCTCCTAATAAGTATTTTTAAGTAAATATGTGTGTTTCTGAGATATTGACGAAGAAATCGTGAATAAAATTATGATAATTTCTCGTCAAAGATTAATTTTTTACAAAAATCTCGGAAATAAAGAGATTTAGGGAAAATTATGAGAATTTTGTTTGTAGCTCTTCAAATTCTCTACAAAAAATACTTGTTTAAAACGCAGTTTAGTATCTAGCAGTTTAATAGGCGAGTAATTCGGCTATTTTCGAAAATAATCGGGACCCTTTGGGTCAACGGTGAGAAGTCAACGAGACACCCGGGAAAGGCTCAGTAGCGAGCAGTATATCATCCGCGTTAGTGGTACATCACCCGCCTTGGTAGAATCAAGGTGTCGTTCAAAGAATATCTCCGACGCATCACGTAAAAGTACATCACCGAACAGTACATCAACGTGTTCAATTTTGAGTTAATTATCAAAAACAATTAACCAGTGAATTATCAAATTAATTATTAGTACATTATCAAGTGAATCACATAATAATTTTCTGAGACCTTCAACAAAATAATATCCAGTATATCACCCACGTGTAAATATCATCTAGACGAGTGGATTGAATCCATAAATAAATGTGATTTTATTTAACTTGTGCATCATTTAATTTCACTAGCACACGCAATGAAAACACTTCCCAAATCCACCCTAAAATTAGCAGCTCACCAAACAATACCTTTTGATAATTTTTCGTATCCCCCTCCATCTCTGAGATATTTACAAAATAGTAAGAACGTAAAATTTTATCATCAGCTTTCCCAGTATTGTAACAATTGTGTCATTTATTCATCATAGAAGCCATGGACGATCGTTTCAAGACCCTTGAGGCCCTCTTCACCCATCGACTAACCGAACTGAAGCACCTGATTCTCAGAATAATAGAGAAAGATGTCAATATCGATGAGAATTCAATCAAGGAAACTGTAGTTAATCATATGAATTCCCTCGTAATTCACGATTACGTTAAAAAGCCCCGAAATGTCGAGCTCACCTCCGAGGAAACGGTCTCACCGAGACAACGTGAAGTAGAAGACCTCAACAATACGATCCACATACTTTCAACTACTGAAGGTGCAGTTCAATGGAGAATGCACCCAGAGAAATGGTTTATTTGAATCAATTACACTTTATTCGAAAATGATAAAATTTATTCCACTCAATTGCCAAATTGTCCTCGAAATAAATAGATGATTTCATTATTTTCAAATGAAGAATTTCATTCTATTCCTCTGGGTGCATTGTTATAGGAAAAAATAAATAGAAGAAGTTTCACGGAAAAATCAATTTTCTGTTGAAAAATTCTATGCAAAAATCGGCAAAATAGAATTATGACTTGTATTTCAGGCATTGAGAGAGTGTTTACTCACTATTGGAAAGTGACGGATATGAAAGAGAAGCTACTGAAATGGAAAACAGGGCGTTCGTTGCGTAGTCCCACGTTTTACATCGACAAAAGTGGATACGCTATGTACATGAAATTCACCCCCAAGTATTTTCCGGATGGAACTGTTTTCATAAGCGTCGGGATAACTCGGGGTAACTTGGATCATCACCTCGTCTGGCCATTTCCGCTGAAATTGCAGATAGAAGTAATTAATTTAGTCATAAATTCTCGGATAATGGCATTGTTTCTATCTAAACACAGCCATTTTCAATGATATTTTAATATTTCAGTCATTGAAAATGTTCTTAAGCAAGAGAATTTCAAAAAACTTGACAATACGTACACAAACGAGGATTGAAAATTAATTACGGGAATTAATGATACGAAAAATGTAGAAGCTGGGAAAAATGAGAAAATTAGAATGAGAATCGACTTTCTTGTAATTTTTTGCTTCTAAATTTGTCTATTCATTTCACCAATAATTTCGAGGAATATTTATAAACTCATGTTCTCATTTCAATGAAAGTGTTCTAACAACATGAACTGACTCACTGAACTAATGCACTCACTCTAAATAATTCTCCTATATTAACCCCTTCCTTTAATTAAGGATGCCCAACTACTTTGGCTATTTTTTTCCAGTAAAATGGTTTTCTACTTTTGTAGTGGAATCTCAGAGCTTTCATTTGAGCCCCATTTGAGCCTATTTCCGGACAATTTATAATGTTTTCTTACGTTTAAATTACGTTTTCTTATGTGTAAATTACGTAAATGTCTCCCGAAATTCCGCAATAGCCACGAAAATAGTCTCCCAATTTTTAATAAGATTATAAAATTTGTCTCGAAGATATTGGACCACTCGGCCGATTATACGAGGGAAGACCGCAGATCTCGGCTGTGGGACCCAGCCACCGTCTGCTCCACTTATTTCTGGGGTCGACCGAGCTCAACAGGTGATCCCGACAATCCTGAGTGCGTTGGGCTGAGCACAGCCCGCAAGTTATTCACCGCGAACAACAAGTACATGTGGAATGACAACGTAATCATCAAATTGACCGTTCATTTGTGAATGTCACTCATTTTTATTCATTCCCTCATCGTTATCTTATCACCGTTCTAGAGGGATACACGATTACATCGAAGACATTTACAACTTATCGGTTAATTATAACTTCACGTAACAGTTCTGTCCTGTTCTGCGATTGACATAAATGCATTCGTATTTGTGTCAGGGGGTGCGTGTTGTGTCAGGAAGTGATGATCAATCTTCCTTGTGATTTAGACTCAGCGACGCGAGTTATCCCTTTATTCATTCGTCATTTTACCCCGGAAGTCCCAGCGGCATAGTCTTCACTACGAAATATTTTTGGGATTTTCTTCAAGTTTCATTTCGATGGGATTCTTTGGAAATTCATCGATTCAACGAATAGCGAGTGTCATTCCTAGAGATGATGAGATACTGATGAAAATTCTGTATGAAAATTCCTCTGAATTCAATTGTTTTCCCATTAATTTGGAGTTTTACTCTTATAGTTGTATTTTGTCATGAAACCAATGAATTTTTAAAGGGATATTTGATTGACGATCGATTATATATGTCTAAAAACCTCTTGTTCTGTTGCCCCGCATGAAGAAATATGTACAATAACAATTACAAATTAGTTTCTATTAATATATATTTTCGATTCTTTCAGAAACATTTTTCGGGCTATGTTACACGAATGGTGCAATTTTTTATTAAAAAAAAAAGACATTAGCTGTGTAGGAGTTGAATTTCAAAAAACTAATTCGTAATTATTATTGCACACATTTTTGACATCCCAAAATGCTCATTGACACTTAAAAATCATAATTGACAATTAATATTCAATGATGATGAGGGACTGGCGAAAATTCCGTACGAAAGTTTCTCTGAATGCAATAATTTTCCCATTAATCTGTCGTTTTATTTCTAAGGTTGTATTTTCACGTGAAACCAATGAATGTTTAAACAAATCGTCATGATAGTTTGTGGACAAAATGCTCATTGACACTTACAAATCACAATTGACAATTAATGTTGATTTAATTCATAATATTTAGTTATACTGCATTAAAATAACATTTGTCACATCAAAAACCGATTTTATCGAGGAAATACTTCCTTCGGTAATCGACACACCCATTAATCCCGTTGTAATTTTCCTCTCAATTTCAGTGTTTTTAGTTTTTCAATTCATTGATCGATAGAATTGCGGACAGTAACAGAGATATTTGTAGAAGCCATTGGTACATGGAATACTCCTGAAGGCGATGACGATTAACTCTGGAATCTCGAACGAATTGGTCTCTTCAGTGTTAACAATGGCAAGTAATCTTGGTATGACTCATCGGGAGATTCCCCACGTTCGATTGCGTTGCGGAGCTCCTGGGATGCGGCACGAACTAGCGCCTTGTAAATGGGGATGGGAATTGTGATCTTCCCTGAATCCTCCGGTCGGTCCAGCGAGTTGTCGTAGTAGTTTCGCTTCTTACCGCAGCCTGATTGATATCACACATTTTAATTCGTTGTAAATTGAATTTCGAGGAATAATAATGACTGTAAAATTGAAAATTGGAGATGAAGAGGTTCAGAAGAATGTTTTAACCGTTTTTTTTTTGTAAAAAATAGGATTTTTACGACAATTTGTTTAAACTATAGGAAAAATTTTTATATTTAAATAGCAGATCTAGTAATTATTTTTTTAATTTTACGAAAAATGATAAGACATTTTGTTATTTTTTCCTTCAAATCTACTAGGTTTTGAGACGTTCGCAAAATAGTTTGCATGAAATTACTCATTTTCATCAGATTATTGTCAGACAGTTGATGGTTTATTCAAGAAACTGACCTGTGAATGCATTGCAGAACGGCCGTTTCGATTTAGCGAGTTCCTCTACTCCTGAATTGAAAATCTGTTGTTCATCCTGAATAGAAAATTGAAGAATTAAAATCTTTTAGGTTTTAAATAATTACACATAAATGGAAAAATCGAGCGAAATGGGCCCAATTGCAAAATCTAGCGAAAAAGTGACGCGAAGAGACTTTACTCCGAAATTTGATTAGTACTCCTACATTAAAAAATTTTCCATTGAAATTTCTGGAAAGGTCTTGGAAATTTCTAACAAGCAATATCTCAAGCAATTTTGTCGTTGAAAATTGATAATTTCATGGCAAAATTTGTGGGAACTGTAAATTTCAGTTCAATTATTTCGGAAAAATTAATGAAAGATCAGGAAAATTCAATTAAATCTCCCCTTAAATTCCAGATTCCTCCGAAATTTCAGGGAATGCCTTCAGAAATTCCTAGAATTCCAAGAATGTTAAAGAAATTCCTGGAAAATTCAAGGGAATTTGCTAGTGAATATTCATTTTCACGTGAAAATTCACGTAAATTGTTGAATTCCCGTCTTCCTATCGCTAAAAAATTAGAACTTTGCTTGAATTTTTAGAGAAACTTGAAATTCCATTGACTTTCTCCTCGTAAATTCAGCCAAATTTTTTAACCGTGCGCCTTAAAAAATCTGATTCCTAGAATTTCTCTCTATTGATTGAAATTTAAAAAAAACCACAAAAAAAAAATTTTAAGGAATGCACTCCTTCCAGAGGCCATCCCCCGCACCATCCTCAAGCACAAACATGAAAAAAAGATCATCACCTTATCATCAGTCTCAATAGCGCTGGCTAGAGACACCACCAACAGTCCCGCGAGTGTCCACTTCACACAATATCCCACCTAAAACGAAAAAACACGCCTGCAATACCAGATCTCTTAATTCCCCCGGTTTTGCTCATCAAATTGCAAAAGGTAAGCTCTGTCCCAATTCCATTATTATTCAATACCCACGACAATTGTGTAACCCGGGGGAATTGTGCCCCAAGTTCTCATTGTGCATAAATTCCTACAATAATCTTTGCAGAGGTGCAAATACATAACTGAACTCATTAACCCAATCCCCGTCATTTATTGAATTTCAATGATGCATTTTCAAATCCTCGAGATCCCGTCCTTTGATCTCACTGACGATAATCCCATTGCGTCATCATTGTGAAATGTCATCAAAGATAAATTTCAAATTTCTTTTTTTTATTTTTCAAATTTAACGAATAAAGAGGAGATAATGAAAATTGAATTACGTCAATGTCTCTTGAAGCCCTTATGGACTTGCTGACACTTATGACCATTGGGAGTCTTGTAATTTTTTTAATACAGAAATTTATTTAAGTTTTTAGAATATATTCTTCATAAAAAATTAAGTTAAACGAAATGAGAATGAAAATTTAATTCATGATCATTTATTAATTGATTCAAATGAAATTGAAAATTAAGGAATTGATAAAACATATATAGATTTGTCTCATTTTTCGGAAAATATTCTTCATGATTAATTAAATCAAACGAAATGAGGAAGAAAATAAAACTAATTGCGAATTATTATTGGATTCAAATGAAATTAAAAATTGAGGGATGAACAAAAAATACAGAGAACTGATTTATACACATGACCCTCGAAGCCCTTATCCACTTATTAGCCCTTATGACCCTTAAGTAATTCTTTATAAAAATAAAATCAAAAGAAAGAGAAAAGAAATTAGATTTATTTCAATAAATTGACTAAAATTAAATTAAAAATCGAGTGACGAATAACAAATTCTTAATGAGGAGAATTTAAATATACCCTCAAGTCATTTGCAATTGCGTAATATAAAGAGATTTCGCTCCTCAAAAAAGATTCATTACAAAAACATGAAATCAAACGAAATGAAAAAAATTCTGAGAACTTGAGAACGTGAGAGGATGAACATAACGATGAGAATTAAATATTTCATTGCATCGAATAAAACCGTCTCTTGAGAGAATCATGTGTGTTGAAGAGAAAACGGAATCGTAAATTTAAAAAACGATTAATGATGCAGGTTTATGGGCCCTTCCGCCCCTCTCCCTGCGACGAGGGGGAGTCGATCCCATTTTCCTCAATGAGGAAAGGTGGGGTAGAATGGACCATCTTCAATCACCAGTATCCCCCGTCCGAATGATGCGATTTGAATTAATTAATTACTTAGGTCTCGTTTCACCGCTTGAAAAAATACTAAAAATAGAGATGAAAAAAATGGCTTCATTTTTCTCTGATGATCACGACTTTTAATCACTTTTTGCTACTCGTGCATAATACAATGCAGTTGGGGGAAAAACATTGCCCTCACGGCCCGCAGGGGGGCATAAGCAGAGAATAATGGAATGAACCATAAAAACCGAAAGGTAATGAAAGAATAAATAAAAAATTGACGACAGCATTTTTCCTCTAGTTTTGCTAATTGACGGGCAGGTAATCACCGGTTTCAGGATGCTTCTTACTTTACTTCATTGCCCTCAACGTGAACATATATATTTTTTGAATAACGTTGATTGAACTTTGTCCACAAAAATTGTTTAGTAATTTCAGGAGTGAAGTAGAAGGAAATAAATAATGTTTCCCTTGATCGGAGGCGGTAAAAAAAATTATTGCCATCATTTTTTGAGAGAAAAGTGACGTTTACGACGGATGATTGAATGTCAATTTTACTGTCTCCTTTGATTTAAAAAATGTCCAGTAAAAACGAGAAATTAATTTCACGTGTTTCAAATTTGCTTTTGAAAATGAGGCCTTTTTTATCTCAGAATTTCTTGAGTGAAAATGACGTAAGAAATTGACGACAATAACAAAATATTCATGAAAAACTGAACCTCAAGTTGCATTCACTCATTTCAATTTTAATTTTGAAAAATCACTCTCTTTTCATCTTTAATATTTCTCATTTACTGAGTAGAATTTAAAAAAAATCACGAGTAATTTCTAAGAAAATTCAATATAGTTTAGAATGAAAGAGAAAACACAAAATGTATTATTCTTCAAAAACAAGCAGGGGACAGCGAGCATACGACCGCGCGCCATGTGACAGTGAGCATGTCACAGAGTGATGTCTTATTTTTTTCGCCATCAATATATTGATGGCGAAAAAAAAACGGTTCACTAATTTTGAAGATATTTGCGGAAAACGATTTAAAAATGAATCGCTTTTTCTCAAAAACTATTAGTTCCATCGGGCTGAAATTTTGCACAGAGCTAGTCATTATTAGGACCTATAATCTGACAAAATTTCAGATTTTTTGGAATTACTTTAGCGACTTAATTATTGAATTTTCTAAAAATTGACCGACGGGACAGTGGCGGTGGACGTGGTCACATACATGGTCGCCAAACTTCGTATTTTTACGTTTCAGACCATTCTACATCATTTCCAATCAAAATTAGAGAATGTGAAAATCGAAGGATTGCAATGCTTTCATTCGGAAGCAAAAATATTCAACATCTCACGAATGTCCACTCCACTGTCGTCTTTCAATAAAAAAGAATGAAAAAAAACATTCATTAAATTAATAAATGATTTTCTTGACTTACCTTCATGCTGGAGACACGAGTGTATCGAAAATATTGACGCAATTCAATTAAATTAGTCTGATCAATTCGCCTTTCACCACTTATGTATGAGCCCCATGTGCTAGCTGTTGCCGTAGCTCTTATTTGAGGTGAAAATCCCGCGCACAGGTCTTCAAATACACCCCCCACCCTCGGAGGCTGGTTGAAGGGGAGAAAGGGGATGAAAATTCATGCGCACATACGAATGCGGGAATTGTAATGAATTTCGTTCGTGACAAATTGCAAAATGTTAAGTTTATCACCTAGCTGAGGATAAATTATGCAGCGGGAATGAGGGGTGATGACTTCATTCATGACGATAAGATGTTTACAAATCTTTGGCTGGGACTTGCGTCTCAACCGAGTCTCCAATCATTTGAGGTATGAATGAAATATTCATGAGGCGCATATGTTAATACGGAAAACCACTGAACATTCGTATGAAGATGGTGGAGGTGTGATTTATATTGAAATTCGTGGTGACAAGTACATTGTTAAAAATTTCTGGCTGAAATTCCGGGTACCCTTTTACAAAAATCAATGAGAATTGGAAAGTTCAGGTCAATTATTTTCTGGAAATTAGTAGAAAAAATGACAATTGCTGTTCAAAAAATTGGAATTTAACTGAATTTTCAGTGAAATCTGGAATTTCATTATTTTTTCCTTGCATTTTAGTTTCACAGAAGCTTCAAAGAATAGGGAACTTGCATGAATTTTTTTCAATTTTCTAATCTCAAGTTTGGAATCTGAATAATTCATTTTTCATTCACAAACGCTCGAAATATTGCGCGTTAATTAATAATTCATTGTTAAAAGTAGAAAATTTCAAACGCTTTGAAATTACTAATGACGTCACACAGACGGTCGAGTGCTGGACCAATCACAGAATAGCTCGGGCCGACCTAACCCAGTCTTGAGGTGCGTCTCGGCCAATGGAGGACGAGAACTCCCCACTCTCTCTTTTTTCGACCAATGAAGCGCTACCTGACCGTCTTCGTGACGTCATGACCGAAAAATCGACCTCGAAAACGACTTCTCCAGAATTTTCGCCGTTTAGCTATCCATATATTACGAGACATGTGTGAACAGAGGACTTAAAAAGAATTGGGCTTCATTCAAATTCCCTATTGCGTCATTGAAAATTCAGAATTTCATGGAAAAATCCATGAGAATTGTAAATGTCAGGTCGATTATTCTCTAAAAATTTGTACACATCATGAAAATTGCTGTTTAAAAATTTGGAATTTCATTGAATTTTCAGTAAAATCTGGAACTTGATGATTTTTTTCATTGCATTGTGGTTCCACCGAAGTATCAAGGAATTTCGTCATTGAAATCTCAGAATTTCATGGAAAAATCAATGAGAATTGTAAATTTCAGGTCAATTATTGTCTAAAAATTTGGAATTGCATTATTTTTTCGAATTCTATGCATGTTTTCAATCAAATATTTCCCATTCAATCTGTAGAATAAAAGATTCAACAGAAATTCAACAGAATTTCCTAGCGAAGTTGCAGGGTTTTTCTACAAAATGTTTGCGTCCCTGAATGATGGGATTATTAGAATAACATCGATGAGAAATGCCCCATGTGACACCTTGCGGAAGTGTAATTCAACAAGATTGAGCGTAACACTGAGATAAATCACAGAAAAATGCGCTGGGGGTTGAGTACTTACAACGTTCGCACATCAGACCCCGCTGCGTTTCAATAGAGGCCGTTCACCCAGAAATTCAATGAGTCTGTGATTTGAATTTAATCTTAGCTAATCATTGCAGTTATTATTATTATTATTTTTATTATGATTATTCATTTAATTTCGGAGTTTTATAACGTCTAAATCTCCAAGTCGAACTTTCAATGCCGATTTTTTAAAAATTAAAGCTGAATTTTTTGCATTATTATCAAAATTGGAAAATTTTCAATGTTTTAATTTGTGAAATGAGGTTTTTTATTTGTTCGGGGTTCTAAAACAGTTTAATGCTTTTGCTTGCCTTTGCCCCACCCTCCCCTGGTTTTCAAATATAACTATGATGTAAACGGCAAAATATTTTGAAAATTTGATCTGATCTGGAGTTGACGTAATCAACGCAATCGTAATTAGATTACGTGTAATTTCGCATTAACATGGCGCCTAGAATAACGAAGGAACGAATGAATCGCAGAGCAATATCTCCAATGTAGAAATTAAATCATTGAAAATCGACGCAGTTCCATCACGTGAGATGAACACGTGAGATTCTTGGACGGTATTCCTATATCCCTCATCACATGTGGTATTGAATGTTTATCCAGCATAATTACAAACAAAATTAATGCTACACTACAAACAAATAATCCGTGCATTGAAAATAAATTCTTTTTTTTGAATCAAGAAACCATTTGATCATACTAAAGAAGCTATTATTTTGTTGTGAATAAAAACGCAAATAACAATTAAAGTTTGAAAAAAAGTTTTATCTGGAGACTTTAGCAAACCCATGTATTTGATTTGAATGAAAGTCATTCAAATTATGAAAGCTATTACGTCAGTTGATATCGTATAGACAATTTCGCTATCTATGAATTTGTATGGAATATATCCACAATCAGTTATTCAAGGAGTCCAAGAAACCTTCGGCGGTTATTTAACAGTGGACCTATCACAGTATACGGATACTAATTCTTTACCGGGTGAAGGAAGGGTGAATTAAAAACAATGGGTCGAAAATGGGGTGGAAAATGAGGGTTTTTGTGATACCTGCCTCAAAAGTGCACTTTTCAAAACGGATTAGTGTGCGTAAAGTGGTTGTTTTCCGCACGGCGTAGCTCTGCGCGCCACGAAATTAGCAGGTCTCTCGACACGAAGATTAATATACACACCTCGCCATGGAAAATATATCACCCTCCCCCACGTGCGAGATTGCCTTCCGAGCCGAAGGCGACGGGGAGGTTGATCTGTTTTCCAAGGCTCGGGCATGTAATGTACTATTTCTGTTTTTTCGATTCAACGAATATTTACCGAGTTATGACGCTATGTACAATTACCTATCTGATGACGCAGCGAATTTTGTTTGTTGCATAATTTATATAAATTTTTTTTTTAATTGTCCTCGCGTCTACAGACATTTCTGGACCTCTTCTGCAACATATTCGAAACTCAGGGAAAAACCATTTTTGGTGTATTGAAATATCGTGGAATGCCTCATACGCAATCCGTATAGAAAATTTCTATACGATTTTTCATACGTGTATGGCTCTCGAGTTTAGCTAATATTGAAGAAAAAAGAGGTGATGATTTCTTTTTTCATTCTATATTTTTATTGCAGCACTACTTTTGCTTTTATCTCTGCAATTTTCATTTGCAATTGGTACTGGATAATGTGCAAAAAACAAGTTTTCGTGAATAGTTTGCTAAGTGTATGAAAAAAGCACTTTAGTCTGGACAAAAATGCGCGAATCATTGTCGTGCCACAGTCGCAGCCCCATCCTGTGGTGCCATTAGTTCGTGAATCGGCCACACCACCAGGAGGTGCTGCCCCCGGTGGGCGTATGCATATCGAATTTTAGTTTCTGAAACGCTCACCAGAGGGCCACGTGGCTGATATAGCGGATAGGAGCCCGGCTACTTCAAGCCCGGATAGCTCAGTCGGTAGAGCATCAGACTTTTAATCTGAGGGTCCAGGGTTCGAGTCCCTGTTCGGGCGTTTATTTTTGAAATTTTGCCTCATAAATCAGGATTAAATACCTGGGGCGCACGCTGGGTCACATTTATCCGGTTCCAATTTTTTATTTCAGTAAGTTATTTTTTTTCCACTGTAGATTTGTAATTCGCACGTGGTTTTCCATGGTTTCCCTTGGTCACCAGGAGAATCTATACGTAGGGTACAGCTCCTGGGGTACAATGCGACACGGTTGGAGGGGAAGTCGGCCCATGAAACCGCAAATATGTAAAAACTCCAATAGGGTATATATGGCAAGGAAAAATAAATAAAAAGTAGCAATTTATCAAATCATAAGAGAGAGGAATGATTCTCAAATGAAATACCAAATCTCAGTATCAAATTTTAATTTTATTATTCCCAAAAACCTTCATGACCCTCAGCAATATCCAAAACAACAGATGCAACGAGACACAAATCTCGAGAATATTATCAAAAATCTAGATAAAATAATAAAAAAACATCAACTCTGTGTTAACAAGTCATCTTCTGTAGAATATAAAGATAATCCCTGAACTTTTCTGTTGCAATGTAAGTACCCCGAGCTTGTAGAAAGTAATCTTAAGAAAAGTAGCAATTCACACCCACTGAGAGTAGAGGGCGATTGAGCAAATCGAGACCGGAGAGCCTTTAACGTACGAAAATAAATGTCATTATCTGTGAAAATGGCAAAAAAATTGTGGTCACAATAAAATAATTGTTTGGTTCTATGCATTCGGGGACTGCTCGGTGACAGTTCCATCAGCCATTCCAAAGTACGCTTTCTTAGCCATGTTTATGAAGAGACCAGTTTCAACAACTCCAGGTATCATCTTAATTTCAGAATTTATGATCTTCCATGATTTGTCAAGATCGTCTGGGAAGTGCCAGTCGAGGATAAAATTGCCATTGTCAGTGACCACTGGTCCCTGAAATTTAAAATAATAAAACAGCTGTGAGGAACATCAAAATTAATTATCTTAAATTTAACGACATTAAATCTGTAGAAGCCAAAACCTGTCTATTGATTGACAGTATAATTATGGAGTGTGGATTATGGAATCCATTTGTTTTCAGTAAAAATTTTCTGGTTATTCATATTGAGAATAATCCCGGTTTCCCTCCTACCTCATCCAAATCCCATTCAATTATTTCCTACGCCATCATAAAGATGTGGAACGCTATATGAATTCCCTTCTTTAATGTAATGAATTAATTAATTGCACTTTGAAATTAATTAATCAATTAATAAATTAATTTTTCAATTGAATCCTATTATAGACCCTTTGATTGCTGGACTCTAAAAAAAAACTAAATAAATCAATGAACTTACTGCTTTGGCAATGGCCATTCTGATTTTAGCCATGCCCCCATAATTGTCCTCGATCTTATGTTTAATGGGGACATATGCCATTGGAATTACCTCTATCGGAATTCCCTTTTTGTACTGCTGTCCCAATCTTTCAGAGTTTTTTCTGAGTGAAAGGAAATTCTGTGATGATTATTTCCAAAGGAGAAGATATATTTTTTTTTTTATTTACAAGAGGATACATTCATTGGGAAAGTGTCTTACGTGTAATCAGCGATGACTATCATGTCCTCTGAACAGGAGGCGATGATTTTCTCCTGCAGGAGGCAACCACCCCCTCCCTTTATGAGGTTCAGTTCTTCGTCGACCTCGTCAGCTCCATCAATGACGCAGTCTATCTGTTCAATGCATTGAAGTGATTGAAGTGTAGATGAATTATGGATTCATCTTCACTTTAATGATTAAGTGAGAACATTAAAGTGAGTGAGGGGTTGTTACCCTGGGGTGTGTCTCAAGATCTCCCAGCACTAGGTGACTGTTGACAATGAGCTGCCGAGCTTGGAATGACGTTGGCACACAGACGATTCTTAATTGCTCTTCTTTAACTCTTTCGGCTGTCAAACCATTTGTTCAAAGTATAGAATGATAATTTTCAATTATTCAAGGGGAATCTTCAGCTTTGGAATTTTTTAATGTGGAGAATGTCAAATTGTGATTGACTAGAATTAATCAAGATTAATGGAATTTACCACAAGTGTATGTAGATAAATGCACGTATACACATTTATTATTAAAATAAAACTGATATTTACGAAATTATTAATTGCTCAAGTGTGAAGCTGTGTGGCAATTCGGACAAATCTATCCGAGAGATTTTGATTACAAGAAGTTCTGCTTATCGTGTAGAAATTACAACTGACTAAAATTACGGGAGTCCTCGGTTTTATGTACCAAGTGGAAGGGGAGATGGTGGGCATAATGGTGATGTCGCAGGGGAAGATTTCGGACTTGTGACGTTGGGGGAGAAGTTGAGAGGCGACGGCGGCGCCGGCGAGAGGGGTTTTATTGCGGTTTAGGATTTTTTGAGGTTTTATTGCGGTTGGGACAGTACCCAGGGATTTTCGAGAAATGGGGGAAACGGCCCAAAGGTTTTGTATTGAGGAAAGAAATGGGAAGCGGGACTGACCCAAGGGTATGTTGAGGAGACTGGGAATTGGCCCAAGGGTGACACGATTGCTTAGAGAATGTATTTTACAATCTATTGAGAGAGTTCGGTTTCATAGTGTTGAAGGTTTTGTGGTGAGGTAATTAATTACCTCCCCCCCATTAATTATATCGCTGAGTATTTAAGAAATTCTGGCATCTATGTAAAATAGTAAAATAATGTAATTATGAAAAGAACGAAATGCTGGGGTATACAATAACTGGAAATCTCCAGATTCTTTAAACCTCTAAATAAATTCCAAGAAAGCAAGTTCTGCCCAATTATCTCCTCCAGATGACGCAATTTTGTTCGATAAAACATTGATTCCGTAATGAACCAGTGACCTTTTTCCAAGCCCCCAAAACAATCCCAAAAATCCAAAGAAATAAAAAAAATAATGAACAAATTCTCATCAATTGGAAAAATGAGGTTTTTCAAAATTTCAACAATTTCCATTATCTATTAATAATAAGGGAATTTGCGAAGAAAAAAATTTTTTCCTTGCTGAATCAAATTTGCGTCAAGCTAGTAATTAATTAATTAGTTTTATTCTAATAAAAAAATGTGGGTTTTGAAAATTTCAATAATTTTGATTATTTATTTATAATAAGGAAATTTTCAAAGCAAAAAAAATTTTTCCTTGCCGATTGACATTTGCATCAAGCTGGTGATTAATTAATGATTTTTTCCCAATGTCACATAATTTAACTAACAAATTTCATGACTGGAAGTGTTCAGGCTCTTTTAACCTCCCAAAAATTGCAAAAACGTAACTTCGACCTAATTAATTAATTCACTCCCTCAGAAGAAATTCCCTTCGATAAAGCATCGATTCCGCAACAAATCAATGGCCCTTCCCCGGAAAAAAATGATAAAAATTGAAAGAAATAAAAATTCTCACCAATTCTGTGTACCGCGTAGATCACAGTGGACCCACTGCCAATCCCCACAACACTGTTAGTCTACAACAAAGAAAACAGCCATGAATCACAACAAAGTACATCATGCCACCGACGAAAACCTCCCTAACCTTCAAACCCCTTTTGAAAACACCCTTCGAACCCTCAAAACCCCTTTACCTTGACGAATTCATCAACTGCTTTGTAAGCAGCGGCTTTCTTGGCAGTCTCGAGGGGTCCCATGTTCCCGGAAAATCCACGTGCGAATCTCACACCAGGCACTTTATAAATAAACCGCAGAGTCGTTCCCGCGATCACTGCATGCTTAACGGTCATCCTCGCTCCTCATTGGTCGGCATCTCCACAGTTTGCGGCGCATCCCTCACACCATTCGGCGGTTCTCGCGCATGAAAAAATTCAAGGGGAGAATTTATCGCTTTTGTGAGAGGATGAGAATTAAATTCTCTTCATCTATTTTTGTAGAATCTCTATTGAGAAATTACTTGAGTAAATTATCTGCAGTTCCCGTAAAGTTTCAAAGAATTGCAAGCAATTTTTACAAATTTCTGGTAAATTTTCGATAGAATGTCCTATAATTTTCGTGGGAATTCTTATTAAGTGATAGTTCCAAGGAAATTTCAAAGAATTCCAAGGAATTTTTAGAGAATTCTAATAGAGTTTCAATAGAATGTTTAATGGAATTCATTAAGCGATAGTTCCAATGAAGTTTCAAGGAATGCCAAGGAATTTTTATAAAATTCTAATAAACTTTCAATAAAACGTCCTATATTTTTCGTGTGAATTCTCCCCAAGTGGCATTTCCACCAAAATTGTCCAGAATTCCAAGGAATTTCATCGAAATTTCAAGTCAATTGCTGTAGTCCTGCTAATAATAAAAAAATCAGAATTCCATTTAATTTTCAGCGAAAAATGAAATCCTCAATTCCAAAATATAAACAAATTAATCAAAAACTCTTGAAATTGTTCATTGAATTTCGATTATATTCAGCATCAGAGTCGCTCAACACAAAATACAATCAAACACAAATTTACATTTTGTTGGTTTTTGTGGTTTCTCATCATTTAATTATTTTATTGTTTATAAGATTTGTTTTCCTCACTTCTTAAAATTTCTCCTATTAGTAATTAGTGTCCCTTAAACGACTGCCTCTCATCCCTCGCACATTCTCCTTATTTTCACACACCCACAACACTTTTTTTCTAATTATATGTTAATCCCTCAGCACTGTCTGGGCGAATGGCTTACGATTTTGGTTTTAATGAATTAATTGTTTTATTATTAAATAAAATATTCGGTAGACGCGTGGGGATTTGAATTTACCCTTCAATCGGGGTTCAATTGATAAATCAGCGAACGTAGGTTTTTATTCTTCGGGAAAGAAAGGAGTATTCAGCAGTATGTGCAGTTCGTTGAGGATCTATTTACACATTTGAACACTTAAAAAATGGTTTTATTGTTTCATTCATCGTCAACATGTTCATCCATATTGCTCGATAAATCTTTCTTTCCTTTTTTGTGGTGACTTGTGAGAGGGCAGATTTCTACAGCGAGGGGTTGCTCACTATAAAAAATGAGGCTGATTCCCCCATGTTACGTGACCCCTATGATTCACCTGGAATATAAACCCGAAATAATTTGTAGGACTTCATTGTTTCACTTCAGAAATGAGTGAAATCATCAACGAAGCAGTAAAACGGTTTTCTTCAATTATCAAATTTATTAATCGAATTGCGCGAGAAAATTTGGAAAAAATTAGGAATATTCAGCGTCATTCAAATTACAGTTTTGCACCAAATTATTGTTTCTTAAAGCATTCCTTGTTTATAAATAAATAATGGAAATTGTTTAAACTTTCGGAAACCTTGTTTTTTTAGGCATGAAATCGAATTTATGGTGGAAAATTGATTGTTTACAAAATAATTTATAGCAAATGCTCATCATTTTCAAAAATTGAAATCATTTCGTCAATCTTTCTACAAAAGTAAACTTTGTAATTTTTTTTTTCAGATTTTTCAAATGTGTTCTAACGGTTCAATATCGAGATTCAAATTCAGATCTGCAAAGTGTAAATAATGAAATCATTATAAAATATCTGGAAACTTGGGGTCAAACTGGGCTCAAATGAAAGCTCTGATGTTCAGCAAAAAGTAGAAAACCATTTCACTAGAGAAAAAATAGCCAAGGTATTTTAATTTGTTAATTAAATTGCGCGAGAATTTTTTTTTTTAAATCAGGACGTTGTCATTTAAATTACATTATGCACAGAATTATTATTTTTTTAAACATTCTTTGTTTATAAATAAATAATTAAAATTGTTTAAACTTTCAGAAACCCTATTTTTTACGCATGAAATCAAATTCTGGTAAAATTCTGAATGTGAATAAATTTGTTACGACTCCAAACAAATGATTTTTATGACGGAAAATTGATTGTTTATAAATTATTCATAGAAAATGCTCATCATTTTCAAAAATTGAAATTATTTCATCAATCTTTTTCTAAAAGTAAACTTTCCAATTTTTTTCCGATCTTTAAAGCGTGTTCTAACGGTTTAATATCGAGATTCAAATTTAGACCTGCACAGTTCGAATTATTATTCGAAAATCATTGTAACAAAAGTAGAAAAGCGTTTCACTGGAGAAAAAATAGCCAAAGTGCTTGTCCTTAAACCGTTTTACCGATATTCCAAAAGTGACTAGTCCCTCGTTGTTCCTCTCACAATCCATATATTTATAAATCTCAATTTTTGGGTACATAAATAAGTTCACGCCGGGGTAAGACTCCTATTTAAACCTAATTAAATACATTATTCCTCCCCGCAGACTGGAAAAAGCTCGTTACAAGGATTTTAACCTCCACCTCACCACTCTCAAATACCTCTTTATCACTCCAATTTTCCCCTTTATTTCGTTTTTGTTTCTACAACTAGTGCAGTCTACAGACAGTGCACGATTACTTGGTATAACTGATCACTTTCACGTTTTTCTTTCAATTTCATCCGACGATTTTTCAACTCCTGTTTATGGCAAAGTGGTTTTACAACTGGAAAACTGGTTTTTTTGTTACAAAAAAGTCGTCGACAAGGAACAAGAAAATCATTGAAAATCTATTGAGATATATATATTTTTTCTTGATTTAACCGTTGTTAATTGTAGGTACATTCTCAGCACTGTTTTTAAAATTTTTCATCGTGTTTTTTTTGGGTTTTCTCAATCATTTTTCACTCCTTAAAATCGAATTAATATATTACAATGAGGCCCCAGTGATTATTCTTCCTGCTGAAAACACGGGGTATTATATAGATACAAGCCTTATTATGTTAGTAATTATTAATGATGAATAATAATAATAATTTATGAGAATCACGTTAATTGTAGCAACAAATTAAATACCGGAAAATTGAGAAATTATAGGTTTTTTGTTGTTTAATTCATGGGGCGCTTTTTTTTATTAGCCCGCCTTCCGAATATCCCGAGGACATCTTCTTATATTTCAACAATGATTTTGGGGTTTTAAAGGATATTATCAAGGGGGTGAAGGGAATGAATTAATTCTTGAATGAATTGATTTTTTCTTCTTCTGAAAAGGAAAATTCAGGATCAAAAATGGATTCATACATGATCTTGGGATAATTGCGAGATTTTGGGATCTGCCTGCAGTAGGATGAGATGTCTAGTGTATTTATTTTCAGATTTTCGTTCATTTTTATCAAATTGTATGGAGATTAAATTGTTTAATTAACAAATTCAGTTGCGAAGTCCAGTTTTTTGGGAATATCTTCGAATCGGAGGAAGATAGAGGAATTCTTGTTATGACCTTTCTTATGGAGAATTTTGAGAGTTATAAAAAAGGTTCTGATGAAAATTTCGCCATCTCCCTTAGAATCCGAGATTTTTTCAAAAAACTTATCTTGAAAAATAGTGAAATTGATTTTTCTCGTTTTCTCACTTTGAGAGAGATTTTAATCTTCTCTCCAAATGATTTTTCAAATTACAAAAATTGTGGTTTTCCACTTTTTTGTAGAATTTCCCATTTTTTCTCCTTCCCGATATTTCCAAAAAACTTATCATCAAAAATTAAAACTCATTTCACTTGAACCACCGAATCCTGACGTTCTCCAGTCTACAATAAATACTCACAAATATAAATAAATCAGTACTCATACCCCAGGACTCCCAAAACCTCGAAATGAATCCATAAAAAAAAGTAAATCCTCATCTCTCACTTTATTTCAAACTATCTCATAGAAACCTGCTTACTAATTATCGAAACACTGTTACTCATTCATGCACTCAATTAATCAATAAACTAGTACGACAGATATTACGCCAGAACATGAAAACCAAAAACCCAAGAAACTCCCAAGATAAAGCGACGATACAAATAATTAATCAATTATCTAAACCATTTTCAATCATTTAATTTTCATCATCAATGATTAATCCTCTTCCTATTGTATATTGCCACCAATGACGTTCACTTCTTCCACATATTTCCAATAATTTTATTGACTTTCTCGCACAAGTTGAGTGGGCAAAGAGATTTTCTTGCGGTATATTCAGGCAGGCGGGTTAAAAGGGCATTTCTCTGGTCGAAAAATGAATAGTATATATTATAATAATTAACAACAATGAATGAAGTGATCTAAACAGTGCTAGGACTAGTGCTAATTGGGGGTAGGGGGGGGGGGCAGATTTTTTTTTATTTCCAGGGGTAATTATCCGAGGGGCTGAAGGGACGAAAAGAAAAAAGTAATTAAACAGTGGTAAAGACCTAGAACATTGGGGGTTAGTGGGGGGGTGGGGGCTCCGTCGATTGGTTTCTACCGTCGACGGCCCTCACTGGCTTTCTGCGCGATGGGCCTGTCACACCAACTGGCCCAACACCACCACGCAGATACGCTGGTGCTGGCGTTGCAATGGGCTCTCTGATTGTTCCAGTTCCTGTATTTCGAATCGGTGGTGGCAGTGGTTGCTGCAGTACCTGGGGGACAATTTATCATTTTTTATAAAACAAATGTTTATTATTTAGTTTTGATTATTAATAGATGAATGAAATTAATTTTAAAGAAAATTAATTCTAACATTTCTTCGTAAATTCACTTGATTTTCTAGATGAATCCGCAATTGGAGTTTTTTTATAATTTCATAGTGCTAATTAGTTGATAAATGAGTCAATTGAAATATTGATCAATTCATTAAATTCAATGATACAATGTTTTTTTTTTATTTTTTTGATAGATTATTCGCTATTTAATTACTGTGGATTATTCAATTATTTAATCACATTTTTATTGGACATTTAATGCTTGACCAAAAAAAACTCTTGACATTTCAATTAATGAATTAATTAACTGATAAGTTAATTCAAATATTGATGAATCCATTAAATTCAACGATACCATGTTTTTTTAATTCTTCCGATAAATTACTCGTTATTTAGTTATTTAATCACATATTTGTTGCACATTTAATTTTCGATTTAAAAAATCTTTAATATTTCCTCTTAAAACCTGCAATTAACGAAACAATTTCCCATTTGTCCATAAAAAAACCCTTGAAACTCACCAGTGGTTGAGGTAAAACACTGTGCATTAACGTCTGAACCATGGTTGCATTCTGCGTATTAATACCATTAGGATTATTCGGCAATCCTTGTCCAGCAGCAGCTGTTGCCTGTACAGAATGCAATGGCACTTGTTGGCCAGTTGACGATACCACAGACTTTGTAACAGCTCCAGTTGTCGTTGTACCAGTGGCAGTTGATGCCTGATGATCTCTCTTAGCGTCGTGTAATGAAGGCTTTTTAACAGCACTACCTGGTGTCTCGGGGCTTGTTGTTGCTGTCGTTGTACTTGATGCAGGTGTTTGGACAGCCGATAGCTCGTTACTCTGCTGTTGGTGATCAGTTAATTCTGGCAATGTCTGGGACAGGGTGCCAATCACAAGTTCACGTGCGAAGAGACTTCTGTTTGCACTTTCACGCTCGATACTTTGGAGCTGGGAGTCCGTCAATGTCGTTGCCATGCATCTGATAATTATGGAATAGTGGTGATGAAATTTGCAAATAAAGAACAGAAATTTGGAATTAAATCTAGTTTTTTATTGATAACTTTTAATCTGTAGGAGATACTGAAATTTTTGTCAAGCCATTTTTTGCAGGGAATTTTGATAGCTACAACAAAGATCGAGATGAAAATTTCGCGATCTGCTCCGAATTTTAACATATCTCCAAAAAACAAATCTGCGAAAATTGTGGAATGTATTTTTTTATTTACACTTCAAGTTTAGTTTTTGATAAATATCTCAGAATCTAAGAGAGATAGGAAAAACGACATGAGAACCTTATTCGTAGAGAATTTCCAGGGCTACAAAAGTGTTCCGACGAAAATTCAGCTACCTCCCTTCAATTCCAAGATATCTCCAAAAAATTAAACAATGAAAAAATTGAGGAATTCACTTTTTTGTTTAATTTAAACGTGAGGGTTATCTTTCAAGTTCAAACTTTTTTGTAGAAAATTTCGAGAGTTACAAAGAAGTTCCAACCACAAATTTGTCTATTTCTCTCAAATTTCAGGATTTTCCAACAAAAAAGCTGATCTTCTGAAAGTACAAAATTTCAAGTAATTCCACAAATTCACCAATAAAAATCCTCAAATCCAAATAAAATCATAAATTCCCACAAGGACCTTTTTTTATAAATCCCCTAAAACTCCTCAAAATAATTCCTTAACCACTCCCCACCCCAAAAAAACCAAAAAAATCCGATTCATTGTGTTCAGTTCAGTGTCGTGCAGAGTCAGATTTTTTGGCACTCGACCGAGTGACCATGACATGCAATGTTTCTATACCCAACAGTCTAAAAAAGAGCGAAAATAAAGGAGGGGGGATGCAGACGATTAACTCCACGGATTTTGAACCCCGACGACTGCCCAGTGTCAATTTAAATCGTCGTGAATGCATTAGAATAATTATTTTGGCTGTTACCTAGGCAACAAGAACATGGAATTCTGGCTACTGGCAGCTGTCGCGCTGGACGAGTTGGCGGTGCTGCTAGAGTTGTTGTTGCTTCCTGTGGTGCCAGCAACAACACTAGCCATTGTTGTCGAATGGCTGCCTGTTGTACCGCCACTTCCACTGGCGGTACCACTGCCACTGCTATTGCCACTTGATACTGAACCAATTACTTGGGTTTGCCTCCTTGGCAATCGCTCCAGTTGGTGCCTCGTGGCTGTCTAAATTATTGAAATCATCTCATTGTCATCATTTATAAAGAATTAATTTGGTTAGAGTATTTTGATGGAGGACTAAACACTTATTTAATTAATTCGAAGGAATTTAGTTGGCAAATATTTACATCAAGGATTTATTTACTGAAATAAAATGAACTGTTTTTAATGGAAATATTCTCATCATTTTAGAACAATTCACAATTTAAGATTCGAATTTTTGCTTCAGGAATTTTTTATTTAGAACAAAAAGTCTCAATGAGAATTCAGATTTAAGAATTCTAGTTTTGATTAAAAAATTCGCCATTCTCAATTTTAGGATTTTTAAAATTTATGGATATTCAAGTACTTTGGTTATTTTTTATTCAATTTTCATTTGAGCCCCATTTGACCCCAAATTTCTGGACATTTTACAATGAGCCGTTAGAAAACATTTTAAAAACCTGAAAGAATTTATAAAATTGATCTTTGAAGGAAGAGTGATGAAATTATTTAACAATTGCAATTTTTGCGATTATTATTATATTACTACTATTATATTTTAAATTATTTGAAACTAATTTATGAAATTGTAAGATATACTTGAATATCCTTAACATGAATTATTATGGAATAAAAATATTTATGCATGTAAGTTTGATACTTACTCTAACCTGTTGACGTTCCAATTGCAATTGCATTTGCAATTGCTGCAATTGAGAGCTCTGGCCAGTACCAGCGCCAGTTCTACGTACACCTGACAATTGGGATAACAATTCCGCAATAGGATCTATGCCATCTCGGCTGCTTGGGCTCAAACCCCCCGACGAGCTGAAATGCATGTTGGACCTGTGGGACCATTTATCGTATATTTAATCGCATTCAAAGGATTCTGAAGTGGTTTGGTGGGTTTGCACGAGTGTGCTGGGGGTTACCTGCGTGGCCTTGGGCCTCCAACACCTCGAGACGGATGGGGTATCCGTCGCGGGCCATGCCGACTCGCCGTTGGCTCATCCAGAAATGATATCAAATCCCTCGGGCCACTTCGGTGCTCCAGAGTCAAATGATTCGCAAAATCATCCGTTACGTGATTTGGATCACCTCCTGGTAGCGATGCACACACTGGGCACACCTAATTCCAAACAAATATTAATAATGAGCCTTGAATACTAAAAATTCAATGCTGGATATTAAAATGGAGAACGAATTTCACGTTCGTGAGGGGTTTTTTGAGAATATCTCGGAATTCAAGAGAGATAGCCATTTTTTTATTGAGACCTTTTTTGTAGCTCTTGAAATTCTCGATGAAAAATGTTCTCAGTAAAATTTCTCTCTCTCCGTCGGATCCCGAGATATTTCACAAAAACTGATCTTAGTTAAGTTAACTTGTAGCTTAGTTTTGGAAATAAGATGTTAAGACAAGGGAAATTTTAAATATAATTGATGTAATGAAATGTTAATGGTAAATAATAATGGCATTAATGTAATTTAACCACTCACGACTTCAAAAGTAGTATCAGGATGATCAGCAGCCACGTGCTCCTGCAGAGTTGCCTCAGTGAAGCCCATTCTCGTGCAGTAAGGACAGGTCAATGACTGTGGCTGCTCCACACTCACACCTTCACCCCCATAGTAAAGTTCTGCATGAAAAAATAAGCCCCGAGATTATAAAATCCTTTCGTCGCTCGACCCTTGCGCAACTCCAGATCGAGAAATAAAACTAATGAAAATTCACTGGACTAGATGCATTCCACTATTGTCTCCACAACTTTAAATAGAGAAAATATATGCTCGGTTCATGGACTCAGTGCTCAATTTCATTAAAATCAAATTAAAATATGATTTCAAATGCTATTCTAATTTCATATTTTAAACATAAAATAGTCATGAACATTCATTTAAACAATATTCTGCATTTCTCTCTTTACGAATAATTGCATTCTTTGAATTATTCTACGAGTTTTCCTCTCCATTTATTTTTTATTAAAAAAATGTTTCTAAATGGCTCAAAATGACGAATTAAATTTCTACCTTCAAAGTTTGAATAACAAAAACTTCGAGAACATTATTTCAATGAGAAATTAATGGTTAAAGTACCGAATTCAATCGAATAATTTCTAAAAATTAAACGAAAAATTAAACATCAATAATTTTACCAAAATCAGTTCGAGTGAGTATACACTGCATGGGATGATCAGCATTGTGGCGTGTGGTAGTGGCCCCTGCCTCATAGCAGCTGGCACATAAGTCATAATCGTAGCACACCAGGCACTTGTATCGCCGACCCCGAAAATTGGCCTTTAGGCAGGAGTCACAACTTACCCCTGGAAAGCCCCCAAAAATTCGGTAAAATCATGCAACCCTTGAAATCCTCATGAGCACTTCTGAAGGATTTTGTCACCCCCAACAAGCTCTCGAGCTAAATTTCTAGGTCGAATATTCTGTCTCAATTGGTCTATTTATATCGCAGCAAGATCGCATAAATCTGATCCGAGTCTCTATTTCAATACTAAAGTAATTAATCTCATGTTGAACTGGACACCACATGAGCTCCAAATAATCGGCTCCATTCACCTCTGCATGCACTCAATGGACATCAGATAACAGCTGTCTCTGCCTTAAACTCGACTCTACTTCTATTTCAATGCAATCCCTGATGTTTCGGAATTCAGTGGCAAATATCTGATAGATTCATCGGAACATCAGATGCACCAAGGCCAGAACACGTGAACAATTAATAACGAGAGTGGGTCAGGGGTCGACTAGCATTGAAAATATAAATTCCATCATTTTTTCTTGCATTACTGGCTGCATCGAGGGGACAATCCATTGAAGATGTTGGAGATTAGCTCAGATAGTGGCCACAACCCTGGGTTTTGGGGACATGGGGGTATTTATAGGACAATATTATCCGAAGATCATTTTTATATTCATCTAGGCACTCGCAAAAAAGGTCTGGTCACCTCTGATAATCGAATGAGACCCTCCAATGCTAGACATTTCAATACGAAAGTAATTAATCCACATGAGCTCCAAATAATCGCTCGATTCACCTCTCCATGTACTCAATGGACATCAGATAACGGCTGTTTCCATCTTAAACTCGACTCCGCTCCTATTTCAACGCAATCCCTGATGTTTCGGAATTCAGTGGCAACGATCTGATGGATTCATCGGAACATCAGATGCATCAAGGCCAGAACACGTGAACAATTAATAACGAGAGTGGGTCAGGGGTCAATTAGCATTGAAAATAGAAATTCCATCATTATTTCTTGCATTACTGGCAGGATCGAGGAGACAATCCATTGAAAAAGTTGGAGATTAGCTCAGATAGTAGCAAAAACCCTGGGTTTTGGGGACATGGAGGTATTTATAGGACAATACTCTCCGAAAATCATTTTTATATTCATCCAGGCACTCACAAAAAGGTCTGGTCACCTCTGATAATCGAATGAGACCCTCCAACCCTCGACATTATCAATAATAATGGGAAAAGGGTCGAGGTAGCAGTGAAAATCCATTCCGAGATACCCTCAAAACACGAAAATCTAATTAACGATGTGAATTTGATTAACTTTTGTAGTCGTGCTGCCCTCTGGACTCTGATATTACTCCTGAATTCACTGAAAATTCTTTTTTTCCACCCGTGGAAACTAAAAATGATTTTTCTCTCCCCCCCCCCCCCCCCCCTCTGCCAACCCA